CAACACACTAGCCAACAACTAGCAGTCAACTAACTAGCCAGCAAAAAGCTAAACAGCAACAAACTAGCAGCCAACCCACTAGCCAGCAAAAAACTAGCCAGCTACCAACTAGCAGCTAACCAACTAGCAGCCAACCAACTAGCCAGCAATTAATTAGCACCCAACCAATTAGCCAACCAACTAGCCAACAACTAACTAGCCAGCTAACCAACTAGCAGCAACCAACTAGCCAGCCAACCAACTAGCCAGCCAATCAACTAGCCAGCCAACCAACTATCCAGCCAACCAACTAGCCAGCCAACCAACTAGCCAGTCAACCAACCAACTAGCCAGCCAACCAACCAACTAGCCAGCCAACCAACCAACTAGCCAGCCAACCAACCAACTAGCCAGCCAACCAACCAACTAGCCAGCCAACCAACCAACTAGCCAGCCAACCAACCAACTAGCCAGCCAACCAACCAACTAGCCAGCCAACCAACCAACTAGCCAGCCGACCAACCAACTAGCCAGCCAACCAACCAACTAGCCAGCCAACCAACCAACTAGCCAGCCAACCAACCAACTAGCCAGCCAACCAACCAACTAGCCAGCCAACTAGCCAACAACTAACTAGCCAGCTAACCAACTAGCAGCAACCAACTAGCCAGCCAACCAACTAGCCAGCCAACCAACTAGCCAGCCAACCAACCAACTAGCCAGCCAACCAACCAACTAGCCAGCCAACCAACCAACTAGCCAGCCAACCAACCAACTAGCCAGCCAACCAACCAACTAGCCAGCCAACCAACCAACTAGCCAGCCAACCAACCAACTAGCCAGCCAACCAACCAACTAGCCAGCCAACCAACCAACTAGCCAGCCAACCAACCAACTAGCCAGCCAACCAACCAACTAGCCAGCCAACCAACCAACTAGCCAGCCAACCAACCAACTAGCCAGCCAACCAACCAACTAGCCAGCCAACCAACCAACTAGCCAGCCAACCAACCAACTAGCCAGCCAACCAACCAACTAGCCAGCCAACCAACCAACTAGCCAGCCAACCAACCAACTAGCCAGCCAGCCAACCAACTAGCCAGCCAGCCAACCAACTAGAAGCAACCAACTAGCCAGCCAACCAACTAGCCAGCCAACCAACTAGCCAGCCAACCAACTAGCCAGCCAACCAACTAACTAGCCAGCCAACCAACTAACTAGCCAGCCAACCAACCAACTAGCCAGCCAACCAACCAACTAGCCAGCCAACCAACCAACTAGCCAGCCAACCAACCAACTAGCCAGCCAACCAACCAACTAGCCAGCCAACCAACCAACTAGCCAGCCAACCAACCAACTAGCCAGCCAACCAACCAACTAGCCAGCCAACCAACCAACTAGCCAGCCAACCAACCAACTAGCCAGCCAACCAACCAACTAGCCAGCCAACCAACCAACTAGCCAGCCAACCAACCAACTAGCCAGCCAACCAACCAACTAGCCAGCCAACCAACCAACTAGCCAGCCAACCAACCAACTAGCCAGCCAACCAACCAACTAGCCAGCCAACCAACTAGCCAGCCAACCAACTAGCCAGCCAACCAACTAACTAGCCAGCCAGCCAACCAACTAGCCAGCCAGCCAACCAACTAGCAGCAACCAACTAGCCAGCCAACCAACTAGCCAGCCAACCAACTAGCCAGCCAACCAACTAGCCAGCCAACTAACCAACTAGCCAGCCAACCAACCAACTAGCCAGCCAACCAACCAACTAGCCAGCCAACCAACCAACTAGCCAGCCAACCAACCAACTAGCCAGCCAACCAACCAACTAGCCAGCCAACCAACCAACTAGCCAGCCAACCAACCAACTAGCCAGCCAACCAACCAACTAGCCAGCCAATCAACCAACTAGCCAGCCAACCAACCAACTAGCCAGCCAACCAACCAACTAACCAGCCAACCAACCAACTAGCCAGCCAACCAACCAACTAGCCAGCCAACCAACCAACTAGCCAGCCAACCAACCAACTAGCCAGCCAACCAACCAACTAGCCAGCCAACCAACCAACTAGCCAGCCAACCAACCAACTAGCCAGCCAACCAACCAACTAGCCAGCCAACCAACCAACTAGCAGCCAACCAACTAGCAGCCAACCAACTAGCCAGCCAACCAACCAGCTGCCAGCCCAAATGCCCATAAGAAGCTAGCCGCAAAGCTCTCCCCACCTAATTGATACAGCGGCCCAAGATGTACACACCAAATTGATTCAGCCGGCCAAAATGTACACACAAAATTGATTCAGCCGGCTAAGATTTACACACCAAATTAATACAGCCGGCCAAGATGTAAACACCAAATAGACACTGGCCAAAGAGCTGTACACATTAAATTAACATTGTGGCCACAGCGCTGTATATATCAAATAGTCACTGTGGCCAAAAACAGAACTTCGCCCACCAAACTGACTGAATGGCCCAAGATGTACACATCAAATTGAAACAGTGGCATCATGATGTACACATCAAATTGACTAAGTTTCCCAGAACATCTGTACACACTTAACTGTACACATGCTTTTTTTCATCTTGGTCGGTCTTTGTTTCATTCCGCCAGTCCTCTGTCGCAAGTTTGATGGTATTATGTTCAAATGTTAAAACATGTGTTGTTTTTCTTCAAATAGGAATACAATTCTAATAATTGCTTGTATTTTGTTTTACTGTTCTCCTAAAACTAGAAATACAATGAATTCTAATAACTATTTATATTATGTGTTATTGTTTTGTTTCAAATTAGCAATATAATTTAATTATTTGATTTTACACTCGGCACCAGCTGTTCAGCGAACAACGCTAGCTGTTCGTTTATCGAATAACACTAGCTGTTCGCTTAGCGTATATTGTTAGCTGTTTAACTTACACCGAGGGTGTATTTCAAGACTAAATAGTCTTAGACACATCACTTAAAACAATGACATATAGACAGAAGCGATGAAAACAGCAGACCCCTCTATATAGATTAATAGATCATGTACACATTTCAATTATTTGATTTACACCATTTTTACAGAACTTTTAAAAAAGGGTTGTTTTAGAAAGGGCTTTGATAGATTTGATAATAAGTGGCGTAAAGCGTCTCTATCAACGTGTCTTATTCTCAAATGTCGTAGGGAAAGATTCATAAAAACAGCAGCAAATGCATGAGCATAAACAGCATTCATTCTTAGATAGGTGGAAGCCAAATTTGTAATAGTTTCTGGCGTGTTTTATTAGAGTTTAACTGGCATAAAACAGGCCAAAAACTCGCTCTGGACATTAAATCGTCCTGAAAATATATAACAGAATTTAAATTGAAATTTCTAAGTGATACAAATAAATAGGCTATATCCGACAAAAAAATCAATATTTATTTTTGTTTACTGAACACATAAATTGATAATACGTGTGTACAATTTGTTATTGTCACGCTAGTGTGTACAATTCGATGTCAACCAACTGTATGCTAACAGATTTTAACACTAGCAGCATACATGTATGTTGTAGTTAATGAAAACTTGTTACAGTTTTTTAAACGCTGACAACCTAACCGCGTGCTGTCAGTTAACACATAGACACATGTCACGCATCCACACTTATTGACATATCGATCGTTCCTGTTTTCTTCACGTGATATTACCGTCTGATATCACATACACCTCCCACATACACCTCCCACATTCACCACAAGTGTGACAGTGGGCGCCTCCAAGATCATGTATTCCTTTGTCGTATCGAAACAGTTAAAGAGTAAAGTGAGCAATAAGAAACTATCAACATTTGAACATAACCGTCTGCAGTTCCACATTTAAAGTTTTAGTAACATTAACATTTGTACTAAACTTTATGTAGTTCCACATTTAAAGTTTTAGTAACATCAACATTTGTACTAAACTTTATGTAGTTCCACATTTTTAAGTTCAAGTAACATCAAACTTTGTACAAAACTGTCTGTAGTTCTACATTTTAAAACTCTACAAAATGACTACATGGTTTACGACATTTGCAGATGTATCATGTAAAGTTTCTGTTTTCGTTTTAAATGTGAGTCACCGCCTCTTTCACTAAGTATTCATTTGGTAGTTTAATTCTATAGTTTCACACACACAAGAGTGCTGTATGTAGGAGGTAGCTGACGGTACCTGTTCTCATGTTTGAATTGTTCGACTTATCGACTCTGAGTAATTATTGTGGCAGTAAACAACAGACAACATCCCAAAGACGGGGCGGAATGTCTAGGTACTGTCGTCTGTCATTATTTTTTCTGGCCAGAAATCACGGCCCGACGGCTGTATAATTATTTGACACAGAGTATAGATTACAAACACCATTCACTTTAACAGCTCTTTATGAGGTGCATCATTAAAATCTATTACACAAAATAGAGCTGTTACACTGAAATAAATATTTAACAACAAAAGAGCAATTTAAAATTATTTTTTTCTCTTTAGTTTTATGGGCTGTCTTGTAATTATAAAAAATAACGGATCAACACCGCTTATTGTTTTATTGTTAAGATTTAAGAACTTAGTGTGATAGAAATAATGTTAAATGGAGTGACTGGCGAAAGCAGTAGCATTTTAAATCACAAGATGGCCACACAACGTTAATAGCAGCCGATAAAAAAAAGGTCTATGAGACTACTACTGCCTACCTAGAGAAATATTTGTAAAAATATTACTTCAGTTTCCAAAATGGATTCTAGCAATTCAACGGCACTGACACAATATCTAAACAACGAGGTGTCCACTATTCTAAACATTTCTAACCTTATCGCATCTATCCCGGTATGTTTCGTGGTTTCATTGATTGGCCTCACCGCCAACATCTTCAACCTTTTCATCTTTCTCGGCCCCACACATAAGGACAGTCTGCCAGTCGGACTTATCGCTCTCAGTTTTTCTGATTTGTGTCTGGAATTTCTGGCGATGGTTGGTGCCGTTATTCAATCAATGAACGCTCTTAACCTTTACCCTAACGTTGACATGACGTCACTGCTCTACATTCTGGCATCGACTCCTGGAGGTCTGTTCTATGACGTCAGTGCTGGGACCGTTGCTTTAATTTCCCTGGAGAAATGTGTTTGTGTTTTTAGTCCCTTCAAGGCCAAGCAACTCATCACACGAAAAAGAATGACGGTTGCACTGGCTTTTGTTTACGCTTTTGAATTTTCCACCTACGGTTCCATGTTCTCTAGCACGTACCTGTCCTGGGAGAGTTATCCTTCGACCAACTCCACACCCAAACTTGTCTTGATGACAAAAGGCGATATACAAACCCTACTTTTAATGTATGAATATTTGAATACGCTATTCTACTTAATATTTACCCAGATTTTGGTGGCTAGTTGCAGTATGTTGCTGATCTTCAGTCTGAATCTTTCCAAGAGATTTCGATCACGAGAGTCGAACGTGTATAAACATATGAGCCCCAGGGACAGGAGAGAAGCCCGACTGGTCAAGACAGTCCTCTACATCGCTGTCTCCTTCTGTCTCAGCAACCAGTTCCTGATTGTCGTCACTGTCTTGTACCGATTCGGGTCCGACTTTGGCAGGTCGCCGGTCGATTCTTTTTTACTGTCGGTGTCGCTGCTAGTGACCACATTAAACGGTGCCATCAACATTGTCATTTATTACAACACTAATTCCAAATATCGACGTGTTCTAAAGAAAATAATGTGTCGTGATTGGTCTGGGATCATTTAATTCGATTCAACAACATGACATGACTTGCAGAGCAAACCTTCAGCTTGGTGTGTCAACATAGTGCCAGATTGTAAAGACAGTCTAGTGGACCAGGAACTAAGACAAAGCTAGTGACGTAGATTTTGTTTTGTAGTCACCTTAGACAGTTTGACATCTTACTAACACTCCAATTTCTTGGTCTCTTGTTCTCCAACCTGACACCAACACCACACCAACACCACACAAACAGCACACAATACCAACCACCACACAAACACTACAACACCACACCACACAAACACCACACAAACACCACACAAACACCACACAATACCAACACCACACAAACACTACAACACAACATCCATCAACATCAACACCACCCATTAAGTACATCGCACCAACACCACACCAACACCTACACCACACAGACACCAACATCACACCAACACCTACACCACACAAACATCGCACCAACACCACACCACACCAAAACCTACACCACACAAACATCACATCAACACCATAAAAACACCACATAAAAACACCACATAAAAACAGCACATAAAAAAACCACATAAAAATACCACTCCACTACCACACAAACTCTACACTGACACTACATCAACAGGAGATCACCATAAACACCACACCAAGCCACGCAACACCAACGCCACAAAAACAAAAAAGGACAGCACGTTCAATTTCTAGCTCAAAATAAAGAAAAAAAAGCAATACAATGGTTTTATTACCATAAAACTTTTGTTTTAAATCAAATTACCAAACATACAGCGAGAGAGTCAAATTTAAAAGTGACAGTACAAATGATCTCGCTCTGAGATATTTTGTCTGAGATATTTTGTCTGAGATCATTTGTCCATGATATCATTTGTCCTGATATTTTTTGTCCTGGTATCGTTTGCCCGTGAGATCATTTGTCTTTGAGATAATTTGTGCTGAGACTATTTGTCCCGAGACCATTTGTCCTGAGATCATTTGCCCTTGAGATATTTTGTCCTGAGATAATTTGTCATGGAACCAATGTTCCAATTTTGACAAAAATATAATCAATATAATAGCGATTTTTAAAGTCTTTATTTATAACTATTAGACCTTCTATTATAGTGTTATATATCCTGTAGCAAGTTTGTTTTGGAACATTCGACAGCCTACATGGTAGAGAGAATAAAGTGATTGACTATTGGAAGAGTTCGACCGTGAACAGGTATCTGTAGCAGTGAACGTACTGTGGATAGACTCTGATGTTACCGCTGGCTTGCACATGATGGTTTACAAAGTAAATTTGGTTTCCTGTTTTTCTAATTGCTATCGTAACACTTGTTACTTAATTATTATTGTTAACTAGAATACCCGTCATCCGTTGGATAACTGTGGGTTTCGGGGGTCATCCATAAAAAAACATCACGTCTGTCACTCAGAGGCATAGCGACCCTTCCCGGCGCCCGGGGACAAACTTTTCGATTTGAACCCCCCCCCCCCCGCAAGATTTCGATTTGCAACCCCCCCCTCAAACTTTTGATGTGCACCTCCCCCCCACTCAAACTTTCGATTTGCACCCCCCTCAACCTTTCAATTTATTTTTCCAAACCATTTTGGCGCCCCAACATATGTCCCCCCTTCCCCCCTCCACCTCCCCCCGCCTCACCTTCACCCCCCCCCGCCTCCCCTCCCCCTCCCGCCCCCCCCCCTCCTCGCTACGCTACTGCAGTGTCACTTATCGTCACAAAAAACAGACACCACATTCAAAAATATGTTTTTTATCTTTTAAAAACACAGAAAACACCGATTTCGGACTATCCCTTCATATACTGACGTCACATGTGACCTACTAAACTCTACTTCACCTGCCCAGTGTCCCGCCAAGTCACAGACAACATGTTTTTATCGTTTAAAAAACGATTCCAGCCGAGCATGTCTCTGACCACACTATCCTTTCCTATGCTTAGGACAAAGAAACAGATGAACTCTACTTCACCTGCCCTGTATCCTGCCAAGTTCAGATAGGCAACTTTATCATTCACATCTAAAAAAAAAAAATTAAAAAAAAAATATCATTGACGTATTGGTCTAGAACCTGTGCCACCCGCATGAGAGCCGGCTACGCTACCAACTTAGCTATTTACTCGTGACGTCACAAGTGAATTTTTATACTATATTTTTAGTCTCCTTTTGCAACTTGATTTACGCGCATAGATCTAGATCTAAGTCTAGTAGTAGTAACTTTCAAATTAAATTTTATCTTAAATTAGCCAAACAAAGATTTATATAAAATAAAGAAGTTCTGAAATTATCTAGATCTAGATAGAATTATCTAGATCTAGATTCTACGACTCGCTTGCTTAAGTCTTAAGTTTAGTTTTTCTTGCTAGATCTAGATCTAGATCTAGATCTAGATCTAATCATTAGCTACGCTGATAGGCCCGGAGCGAGCATTTCAAAATTACCATATTCCAAACAAAGATTTATATAAAATAATAAAGGTCTAAAATAGTTTAGTATATAGAAAATCACTATTATCTAAATCTAGATAGAATTATCTATATTTAGATCTACGACTGAGCTATATTTAGAATTTACGTTTATAATTTAGCAAAATTACCGGTATCGAAGCAGCGTATGAATCTTAAGCTACGCAAATACGCCCTGGAGCCAGCACTTCAAAATTTGCATAGTCGAAACAAAGATTTATACAAAATAATAAAGGTCTAAAATATTTTAGTATATAGAAACTAATTATTATCTAAATCTAGGTAGAATTATCTATATTCTAGATACGACTGGTTTGCTTAAGTCTCGTTTCTTTTTACTTTCTCGTATATACGAAGTATAGAGAAAGTATTGTAATCGTGCACAAAAATCACTTGAAATTTTAACAATTTTCACCGTATTACACCTCAGTCCTTCATCACATCCGAAGTATAGAGGACTTATTTTAATCGGGCAAAAATTATCAATCCAGATTTATCAAAATTAAGAGGTTTTATGCGTAATCCAGTCTGAAAAACTGGGCTTTGCAATTCTGTCCGTATGTCTGTGTGTCTGTGTGTGTGTCCGTGTGTAAACACGATTACTTGAGTACCGTTATAGCTAGGTTGATGAAATTTCATATATAAGTATTTTAGCAAAATCGTAGATCCGTATCAACTTTTGAGCGATTTCCGATAACCGGAAGTGGTACTTTTCCTACTTTGAATTTTTCAAAAGCCTATAACTTGAGTACTATTTCAGATAGATAAATGAAATGTCACATGTAAGTAAAAGATCTAATTCTCTACCTTCTGTTAAATTTTGAGTAATTTCCGTTGACCGGAAGTAGTAATTTACGCTACTTCCGATTTCTCAAAAAACTAATGTAAATTTTTAAAGTACTTATAATATTGCGCGCTATTGTGCACTTTTTTATTTGGCGTTCACTAGTTCACTTGGCGTGCAATTATTTTGTCTACGAGATTTTATTCTATTTTTAAAACTTTAAGTATTTAAAATGGATTAAAAATCATGTCAATAGCCCGAGTTCCCATCCCCTGTTGTTTTATATAAGAATATTCGAGAAAGTTTAGGAGAGATCACTCCCGGTTTATTTGGTTTGTATTTAGATCTATAACTAATAAATTTTTGATTTGACCTAGATTTCGATTCTAGATTCTAGATCTATAAATAACTTTCTTGGACAAATTGTAGATCTAGAGAAATTTATCGTAAAACTAAATGAAAAAGACAGTTGAAAATTGATATAAGTGTTGGAACGTAATAAATACAGCAAACGGACGTATTGTTAAAGTTATGACCGACAGAAAATTAGATTTAGAACGCGTTAAACTTTTGAATGGGAACACAATTTTCTTTGATAGACGCCGCCATTTTATTGTACTAAAGAGTAAACAAAAACCTGTGACGTCACGGTCCCGCCGAGTGTAGTGGTCGTTTTAATCTTTTTAAAAAAATAGGGTTACTCTACGTATGAATAAATCAATAAATTAATTAACGTCTTTAAATAAATGTGTGATTAACAGTCTGTCTGCATTAAAAAATTATTCTCTACCTACATACTATTTTACAGCTCTCCAGATAGAGTCGAACGCCTTTCTGTCTGCTCATGTGTTGTGTCTTTATGTGTGTTTTGTGTTTTTGTGTGTGTCTGTTCCAGTGGAATAAAATCACGTTTTTTTATGTTCTGTATAATCGTCCATTATGAAGAGCAATATTTTGATAACACTAGTACCACCGCCCCAGCCCCCACCCGGTCCCTCTAAATTCACGCTGCCACTCCCCCCCCCCCCCTCGTGCCTTCGTTACCGACCCCAACATCCCAGGTGTATTTATTTCACATCCAGCCCTGTAATTAACCCTTCTGTACACATCAGTGAGACATCCAGCTAATTGCAGGCTAATTGCAGGCTAATTACAGGAGTTACCCGTCGGTAGAAGATAATTGTATACATTATTCAACAAAAACAGTTTACTGTCGTTATACGTTTTTTTTTTGCCTAGCCATTAAAACTTCTAAAGATTGTCACAAAATTTTCTTACTATTAGCTTGCTTGTAGATTGTTTATTCTTTCGTTTTTTTCTAAGTTTCATCTGTGTTTGTTTCTAAATTTTTTTCAATGCTGTGACTAAGTTTTTAGTTTATTTTGAGATTTTATTTTGTTGGCAATATGCTGTCAGCAGCCCATCTTCTGGCGTTCTATTGGATCTTACCTGTGCTAGTTTGCACTAGCTTGGTCCTTCTTGATCCAGGTAATATTTTAAGATTTAAGCTCTCGGCGTGTTTCTTTAGCTCACGTGAGCTCAAGTTTAAATAACAATGTTAGCTTTTAGTGGAACACTAAAACCAACAGTACAGGGAAATTAATTTTAACTTATAATAGTAAGCTGACACATCATGGAAAACTGTGAAGCAGTTATTACAAAATTTTCAGCTAGGTCACTGTGGGTATTTGCCAGTCTTCAATATTTAACTAATTTTTAGCTAAATGTTTCAATAGGGATTTCTCGTAAACTTTGTAAATATGTGAATTGCCGATGGTAATATATACATTTTAAAATTTCTATATAAAAGATACTGGTATTAATTTTGTCCTTTAATTGGCTTTAAAGTTACTTTACACAAAAGCCTATACATTCAACTGAGAAAGATTGGTGAGTTGCGCTAATACAGCTATCGTGCTAAATATAAGATGGGCTTATGTAAAGAATGTCGTGTTATCAAAAATGTGGGATGTTATAAGCCTAAGTTATAACCTGAAGTTTAACTTTCGTAAGACAAACATTGATTGGCTCTACAGGAATTCCGCGGTCGATTGTCTGGCTAAGTCACCCCCCCCCCCCCACACACACTTATCAGTAATTTATACTCAAAACTTTGCCGATTTGTAAATAAAATTAATTTGTTAAACCGCATAACCTAGCTATGCCGTGTTTATTTATATTATTAGTTACAAAAAGGAAATATAAAAAATGCTTACGCTTTATAAAATGTTGTAGTTACCAACAATAATAAAAGGATCTACTGCATTCATTCTTAGTAAATCTGAAAAAAAAACAACCTCACAATATAACAATTAAAACTACAGTTTTTTTTTGGATAAAATTGCACACGATAATAAAAATACTTAAATGAACCATTCGAGGCTGATGACTTGAGGCGCCCAAGTACAGTTATTTAGTTTTCAGGGGAACAAAATATATGGCAAATCTCTGAGCTCAATGTTAGATTATACTTAATGCTAGAATTTCCTTTCACGATCGTTTGGACTTTTATGACACAGGATGAGATCGATCACCGAGGTCTATGATAACTAACCCGAGTACACCACTATTTTCTAAGGTCCAAGTTGTCCTTACGGCTGGAGAGGTCACGTGGGTGGCGGGTCGTGCTATCATTTTGTGATGGAGCCAGTGTCACATGATCTAGCCTTCCACAAATGTCGGAACCTGGCAGCGAATCTGGTTGTCATGGAGACACAGGAGGAGCTGGTGAGTTCTAATGTCGATGGCCTCACTGGGTTGGGTGTCGGTGGGTTGGGTGTGAGTGGGTTGGGTGTTAGTGGGTTGGGTGTTAGTGGGCTGGGTGTGAGTGGGTTGGGTGTTAGTGGGTTGGGTGTTAGTGGGCTGGGTGTGAGTGGGTTGGGTGTTAGTGGGTTGGGTGTTAGTGGGTTGGGTGTGGTTGGGTTGGGTGTTAGTGGGTTGGGTGTTAGTGGGTTGGGTGTGAGTGCGTGGGGTGTGAGTGGGTTGGGTGTTAGTGGGTTGGGTGTTAGTGGGTTGGGTGTTAGTGGGTTGGGTGTGAGTGGGTTGGGTGTTAGTGGGTTGGGTGTTAGTGGGCTGGGTGTGAGTGGGTTGGGTGTTAGTGGGTTGGGTGTTAGTGGGCTGGGTGTGAGTGGGTTGGGTGTTAGTGGGTTGGGTGTTAGTGGGTTGGGTGTGGTTGGGTTGGGTGTTAGTGGGTTGGGTGTTAGTGGGTTGGGTGTGAGTGCGTGGGGTGTGAGTGGGTTGGGTGTTAGTGGGTTGGGTGTTAGTGGGTTGGGTGTTAGTGGGTTGGGTGTGAGTGGGTTGGGTGTTAGTGGGTTGGGTGTTAGTGGGTTGGGTGTGAGTGCGTGGGGTGTGAGTGGGTTGGGTGTTAGTGGGTTGGGTGTTAGTGGGTTGGGTGTTAGTGGGTTGGGTGTGAGTGGGTTGGGTGTTAGTGGGTTGGGTGTTAGTGGGTTGGGTGTTAGTGGGTTGGGTGTTAGTGGGTTGTGTGTCATTGTGGGTTGTAGCTCCGGGTATCACTGCCTAACAATGTTTACATATTATATATCAGGTTTCTGCAAAAAAGATTTCAGTTTCGGTCCTCAAGGGCTCACAAGGGCGATGGCAGCACAGAAAAAATAAGAAAAATTATTGAATTTTGAATAATAAGGGGAATTAACAACGCTTAGCTGATTTCGCAGAAAATATTAACTTGGTTGTTTCCCTTTGTACATACAAATTTCAAAAAGGAAAACAAACAGTCGTAAAAATATTGAGAATACTCCCGGGAAGGTTTCGGCAAAAAAAAACTTTAAATTTGTAATTCTCAATAACTCTATATATATATATATATATATATATATATATATATATATATATATATATATATATATATATATATATATATATATATATATATATATATATATATATATATATAGTTATTGAAAATTACAAATTTAAAAAGGAAAAACAAATTCTAATTTAGAGTTGGATCGTGACTGAAACAAAGTCAGAAGTTCACGAATGGTGGATCGCAATCAAGTACACAGAAAAAGGATTGGTGGATACAAATGGATCACTTATAAGTTTACAATTGTACGTTAGTAGTTACACAATCACGTTGTCATTGATGAATTGACATTCACTGTCAAGTACATAACTTGCTGACGTGACATTTACAAACAACATGAAGTAAGTTATACTATACAACACTTGTTGGCATCACATATCAAGGAATGCTACACAAATCCTCACAACATAATATAAATTGCATTACACTACACCACATAACGTTGCGCAGTAGCCAAGTCATCTAGCTCGTATGTCCAGCAATGTTAACAGATAATTTTGCAAGTTTAGGTTGTAACATAATGTTGCCAGATAATTTGGCCATATAATGTTGCCAGATAATGTTGCCAGATAATGTTGCCAGATAATGTTGCCAGATAATGTTTTATTTCAGACCTACTAGCCTCTTCTACCAGCCATCACTATTTACACCATGCGCGTATATCTACAATGAAGAAATTCGATTCGACAATTGTTCCCGCAAGTACAACTACATCTGTAAACAGAAGGCAGGTTTGTAGATAAACTTACAGCAGTTGTAGCAATAACGCAGAATTACTAATTACATTTATCTGTAATTCATTGTTTAGATTCGACATACTATATCAGACTGTTTAGTTCAAATACAACGTCTCGCCAATAAATGTTGTTTGGACTCGAGGTTTTTAAAAACTTGGCTGTCAAGTGGCGTGGTTAGTGGCGTGGTTAGTGGCGTGGCTAGTGGCGTGGTTAGTGGCTGGGTTGGTGGGTGGCTAGTGACGTGGTTAGTGGCGTGGTTAGTGGCGCGGTTAGTGGCGCGGTTAGTTGGTTCAGTTCACTGCCCAAGGGAGGAAATAAAATATTGACACGTGATCATGTTGACCTCTGTAGGTGCTGTCCAGTCATGTGACATCGAGGACAACTGGGTGGCCGTCAACGGGTCCTGCATCAAGCACTTCCGGTCTCAGGTCACGTGGGCAGAGGCTGAGTAAGTCACGTGGCTTTTGTGTGTAGATGGTTACATTTAATTCGAGGATTTTTAGTGAGATATTTATAGTAACGTTGGTGGTTTTATGCAGACCATTTTGTGGTTTTACATGTGGGAGTAACGTAGAAGTTTTTGTAAGTTTTGAGGGTTTTATGTGAGCACCACGTAAAAGTGAGGGAACCATGTTTGGTCAATCCTAGCTCCAACTGCCAGCGACAGAACAGCCATCTGGTCAAGATGGACACGCTAGACAAGGCGGACTACGTCTTCTATGAGTCCGACTCAGCTGTTTCGTGGGTCGGGTTCAGTTGGAACAGTTCATCAAACAGGGTAAGGACATTGGTGTTTCATGTGGGTAGGACATTGGTGTTTCATGTGGGTAGGACATTGGTGTTGGGTAGGACATTGGTGTTTCATGTGGGTAGGACGTTGGTGTTTCATGTGGGTAGGACATTGGTGTTTCATGTGGGTAGGACATTGGTGTTGGGTAGGACATTGGTGTTTCGTGTAGGTAGGACGTTGGTGTTTCATGTGGGTAGGACATTGGTGTTTCATGTGGGTAGGACATTGGTGTTTCATGTGGGTAGGACATTGGTGTTTAAGGTGGGTAGGACATTGGTGTTGGGTAGGACATTGGTGTTTCATATGGGTAGGACATTGGTGTTTCATGTAGGTAGGACGTTGGTGTTTCATGTGGGTAGGACATTGGTGTTTAAGGTGGGTAGGACATTGGTGTTGGGTAGGACATTGGTGTTTCATGTGGGTAGGACATTGGTGTTTCATGTGGGTAGGACATTGGTGTTTCATGTGGGTAGGACATTGGTGTTTCATGTGGGTAGGACATTGGTGTTTAAGGTGGGTAGGACATTGGTGTTGAGTAGGACATTGGTGTTTCATATGGGTAGGACATTGGTGTTGGGTAGGACATTGGTGTTTCATATGGGTAGGACATTGGTGTTTCATGTAGGTAGGACATTGGTGTTTGTGAGTAGGACATTGGTGTTTCATGTGGGTAGGACATTGTTGTTTCATGTAGATAGGACATTGGTGTTTCATGTAGGTAGGACATTGGTGTTTGTGAGTAGGACATTGGTGTTTCATGTGGGTAGGACATTGGTGTTTGTGAGTAGGACATTGGTGTTTCATGTGGGTAGGACATTGTTGTTTCATGTAGATAGGACATTGGTGTTTCATGTAGGTAGGACATTGGTGTTGGGTAGGACATTGGTGTTTCATGAGGGTGGGACATTGGTGTTTTATGTGGGTAGGACATTGGTGTTTCGTGTAGGTAGGGCGTTGGTGTTTCATGAGGGTAAGACATTTGTAGTTGTGTTTTTATTGAATTGTTTCAAATGGATACGACTATCGGAAATGTTGTTTATACTGTAACTATCATACTTTGTTACTTGTATATAAACTTAATATGTTGAAAAACATGTTTGTAAGATGTACTACTTAAAACATGTTACATTGGTCAGTTTAACGTTTTCCTCAGAATGTTTTGGTTTGAATTTTTGAGTGTATACATTGAGTGTTGTAGTTTAGATTTTACTGAAGGATGATGAGATGAATGTAAACAATCACGACATGTTTGTGTTGATCGTAGATGGAGTGGAACGATGGTACACTAGTCAACAGTTCATTGATACGCTATGCAGTTTCTCCTGTCAAAGCGAGGTAACACAATTTGTAGTGTTGTCCCTTGTAATATTAAAGTGATGTAATGCATGTGTAGATGTCAAGTGTATTTGTGCAAATGTTGTCACTCACACCTGTGATATGTTGTGTACGTCTAACGCACATAAACATAAAAATATCCTTGTTAGATCACGTTAAAGAACACCCTACCAGTTTGTATAATTTGGTTACATTTTCTCATCGATCAGTTGGAATACAATGTATTGTAGCGTCTTTAACGCTAGTAGCGCTACAGCGTACACATTAGGTAGCGTGGATTGTCTGGAGGCTCATGGATTTACCTGTCAGAAGAATCAAGGTAAAGAAATTTACACGTCTTGTAAAGTTAGGAGAGTGATACATTCGTTGAGAAGAATCAAGGTAAAGAAATTTACACGTCTCGTAAAGTTAGGAGAGTGATACATTCGTTGAGAAGAATCAAGGTAAAGAAATTTACACGTCTCGTAAAGTTAGGAGAGTGATACATTCGTTGAGAAGAATCAAGGTAGAGAAATTTACACGTCTGCTAAAGTTAGGAGAGTGATACATTCGTTGAGAAGAATCAAGGTAAAGAAATTTACACGTGTGCTAAAGTTAGGAAAGTGATACATTCGTTGAGAAGAATCAAGGTAAAGAAATTTACACGTCTCGTAAAGTTAGGAGAGTGATACATTTTTTTAGATGAATCAAGGTTACTTGTGATGTTGTACAAGTAATCTGTAGTCACCCCAGTATATAAAGGTTAAAGTAACCACATTCAAAGTGAGTACGTCAGCAACATTGTACCAGATCTTTGAAAACTATTCTAACAAGGTCAATGCCCTGATGGATGGGAGATCTTCAGATTGACCTGTTACAAGTTTTTCCCAAGAATTGAGATGACCTGTACTGAAGCCAGGAATGTATGTCTGTCCCTAGACGCTGACTTGCTCAAAATCTCCTCGTGAGTACACGCAATAGTGTCAAAGTCAAAACAATCTTAATGTGTTATATATATATATATATATATATATATATATATATATATATATATATATATATATATATATATATATATATATATATATATATATATATATATGTGTGTGTGTACAATAAATTCATTTTTCTTTTGTATGAAGAAGTCATGGTAAGAGATACAAAACTTCAACTAGATGTTAGCAATACAAAATTATCTTACTAAGAAAACTTTTATTTTTATTTCTTTTACTGACCCAATGTTGAAGAGAAAAAGAGCAAGCGTATGTGAATTCCATTCTTCCAGAGATGTCCTCTTTGTCAGTGAAATCGATGTGGATTGGCATTAACGGTACACTTTCTCACATTTTTAAACAGTAATGTTTTTGAAAATATCTCAGAAGTATTGTGATAGCACTTTCTTTTGAAAAATCTCCAACTTCATTAAGAAAATTACAATTAGAAAACGATTTAGTAATTTACTACGCTTGTCAATGAGGTTTATGTTTAATCTATTAATTTACTGCGGAAGTCAATAAACTTTTGTTTAATATGCTAATTTACTACCTTAAAGATGTGGCAAGATCAATGAGAATTTGACATGTAGCGTTAACATATTAATGTAAAATTTCGTTGAAAGATAAATGCTTGAAAATATTTGAAATGTGATACAGCAAACTAAATATGATATGATTCAACATTTGAATGTTGATATAAATTGTTTGAAACAGACTTTGAAGATGATGTGATTCAACATTTGAATGTTGATATGATTCAACATTTGAATGTTGATAAATATTGTTTGAAACAGACTTTGAAGATGACATCTCCTTCAAGTGGTCAGATGGGACAGCCCTGGGCGAGTATGTCAACTGGCACTTTATTGCACCCTACAGTATCACTGGATTAAAGGAGTGTGGTTTTATCTACACTGGTGGGCATGTCACATTACCTCTAAACACAGGGGGGGGGGGTAGTTTACACTGTTATGAAATTATATAACATTTTTAAACAGTCAAAAAAAAAAAAAAATGTAGGCCTATTTTCTCTAGGTTATTTTAAAGGCAGATGGAACGTCGAGAATGCAAACAGTTACAAATCTTTTGGTTGCAGCAGGGATCAAAATAAACCTTTTACGGTTGCTCCAAAAGGTAGGCACTGTGGAATTACTGGTCTAGTCATTAGACCTTTCCAAAAGGTAGGCACTGTGGAATTACTGGTCTAGTCAGTAGACCTTTCCAAAAGGTAGTTACTGTGGAATTACTGGTCTAGTCAGTAGACCTTTCCAAAAGGTAGGCACTGTGGAATTACTGGTCTAGTCAGTAGACCTTTCCAAAAGGTAGGCACTGTGGAATTACTGGTCTAGTCATTAGACCTTTCCAAAAGGTAGGCACTGTGGAATTACTGGTCTAGTCAGTAGACCTTTCCAAAAGGTAGGCACTGTGGAATTGCTGGTCTAGTCAGTAGACCTTTCCAAAAGGTAGGCACTGTGGAATTACTGGTCTAGTCAGTAGACCTTTCCAAAAGGTAGGCACTGTGGAATTGCTGGTCTAGTCAGTAGACTTTGATTGGGACGTCTCCTCTGTTAGAACTGGGATTAGCATAGGGTAGGGAACTGGGATAAAATATCGATTACTAATATTTTGAAATCGGCGGCGTTTTCTGTGAAATGGTTGTATTCTTAAATGTTTTCTTTGAAGTGGTTGTATTCTAATATGTTTTCTGTGAAATGGTTGTATATTCTAAAATGTTTTCTGTGAAAAAGTTGTATTCTAAAATGTTTTCTTTGAAGTGGTTGTATTTTAAATGTTTTCTGTGAAATGGTTGTAGTCTAAAATGTTTTCAGTGAAATGGTTGTATTCTAAAATGTTTTCTGTGAAATGGTTGTATTCTAAAATGTTTCCTGTGAAAAGGTTGTATTCTAAAATGTTTTCTGTAAAATGGTTGTATATTCTAAAATGTTTTCTGTGAAATAGTTGTATTCTAAAATGTTTTCTTTGAAGTGGTTGTATTCTAAAATGTTTTCTGTGAAATGGTTGTATTCTAAAATGTTTTCTGTGAAATGGTTGTATTCTAAAATGTTTTCTGTGAAATGGTTGTATTCTAAAATGTTTTCTGTGAAATGGTTGTATTCTAAAATGTTTTCTGTGAAATGGTTGTATTATAAAATGTTTTCTGTGAAATGGTTGTATTCTAAAATGTTTTCTGTGAAATGGTTGTATTCTAAAATGTTTTCTGTGAAATGGTTGTATTCTAAAATGTTTTCTGTGAAATGGTTGTATTCTAAAATGTTTTCTGTGAAATGGTTGTATTCTAAAATGTTTTCTGTGAAATGGTTGTATTCTAAGTGTTGATTTTAGCGTCTTAGAGTTCTTCATCTCTGTGTCTGACAGGCTCTGACATGCATCTAACCCCTTTCCACCCTCTAAAATCAACAACTGAGTACCCCACTGTGACGCAGGGACGTTTGCAGACCTAGCTATCGTTTCCAATCTTCTAAGTTATCGCTATTGTCGTCAATTTCGTCAGTTAACTGAATGATACACAGTGACCTCTCACTAGAGATATGATATTACTGGGATTAGGATAGGGTAGGGAACTGGGATAAAATAGCGTTTTAATTTTTAATTGTAGTTATGTCAATACCATTATATTGTGTAATTATAGGATACATAGATGATAATAGCTGTAATAGGAATCGTTCTTTTGTGTGTGTTTGATTGTACGCCCCTCCCCCCACTAGATACAAGTCTGAATAGCTAGTATTTGCCCAAGTCGTACTGGTTGGAGTTAAAGTATGCACAGGTTAGGCGCCCCGCCCCTTGTGGGACTGCTGGGGCAAGGCAGGAGTTGGGTTCCCTTAAGGTGGGTTAGGCAGGGGTTGGGTTTACTGTGTCACTTTACTCTGACTTCATTACATCCTCCACCACCCCACCCGCTACTGACGACCCAAGTAATGTCGCCATCTAAAATTGGACTGCGTTTAATCCTAGTACTTATCAATGCAGTTTAAAAAAAAAATCAAATACATTTAATAAGATAATAAATTGTGTTTTCCCTAACATTTCCTGATTTGTTGGACTGGATTGACATGTTTTCAGGTGCCGCTTCAAAATGTGATGTGGGGTGGAGGGTGGTGGGGGACACGTGTGTCTACATCAGTGGTGTCGTCTGCTCTCAGTCAGCAGCCGAGAGCAAGTGTCAGGCGTTCAATGGTCAGCTAGCGGTCATCAATTCACAAGCCGCCTTTGATGATTTAGCCAGTAAGTCAGTGTCTGATGCTTTAGCCAGTATGTCAGTGTTTGATGATATAGCCAGGAAGTCAGTGTTTGATGATTTAGCCAGTAAGTCAGTGTTTGATGATTGAGCCAGTAAGTCAGTGTTTGATGATTTAGCCAGTAAGACAGTGTTTGATGATTTAGCCAGTAAGTCAGTGTTTGATGATTTAGCCAGTAAGTCAGTGTTTGATGATATAGCCAGGAAGTCAGTGTTTGATGATTTAGCCAGTAAGTCAGTGTTTGATGATTTAGCCAGTAAGTCAGTGTTTGATGATTTAGCCAGTAAGTCAGTGTTTGATGATTTAGCCAGTAAGTCAGTGTCTTATGATTTAGCATGTTAGTCAGTGTTTGATGATTTATCCAGTAAGTCAGTGTTTGATGATTTAGCTAGTAAGTCAGTGTTTGATAATTTAGCCAGTAAGTCAGTGTTTGATGATTTAGCCAGTAAGTCAGTGTTTGATGATTTAGCCAGTAAGTCAGTGTTTGATGATTTAGCCAGTTAGTCAGTGTTTGATGATTTAGCCAGTAAGTCAGTGTTTGATGATTTAGCCAGTAAGTCAGTGTTTGATGATTTAGCCAGTAAGTCAGTGTCTTATGATTTAGCATGTTAGTCAGTGTTTGATGATTTATCCAGTAAGTCAGTGTTTGATGATTTAGCTAGTAAGTCAGTGTTTGATAATTTAGCCAGTAAGTCAGTGTTTGATGATTTAGCCAGTAAGTCAGTGTTTGATGATTTAGCCAGTAAGTCAGTGTTTGATGATTTAGCCAGTTAGTCAGTGTTTGATGATTTAGCCAGTAAGTCAGTGTTTGATGATTTAGCCAGTAAGTCAGTGTTTGATGATTTAGCCAGTAAGTCAGTGTCTTATGATTTAGCATGTTAGTCAGTGTTTGATGATTTATCCAGTAAGTCAGTGTTTGATGATTTAGCTAGTAAGTCAGTGTTTGATAATTTAGCCAGTAAGTCAGTGTTTGATGATTTAGCCAGTAAGTCAGTGTTTGATGATTTAGCCAGTAAGTCAGTGTTTGATGATTTAGCCAGTAAGTCAGTGTTTGATGATTTAGCCAGTAAGTCAGTGTTTGATGATTTAGCCAGTAAGTCAGTGTTTGATGATATAGCCAGGAAGTCAGTGTTTGATGATTTAGCCAGTAAGTCAGTGTTTGATGATTTAGCCAGTAAGTCAGTGTTTGATGATTTAGCCAGTAAGTCAATGTTTGATGATTTAGCCAGTAAGTCAATGTTTGATGATTTAGCCAGTAAGTCAATGTTTGATGATTTAGCCAGTAAGTCAGTGTTTGATGATTTAGCCAGTAAGTCAGTGTTTGATGATTTAGCCAGTAAGTCAGTGTTTGATGATTTAGCCAGTAAGTGAGTATTCCTGAAGAGACTTGTATGTTTATTTTCCGTGAATACTGAGTAAATATGTAACTTGAGTACAATGGGATAATTTACAGCCTTTATAAAAACTGGTTCCTTCTGGATTGGTTTGAAGTATTACAGGAGGATTCGAGCTTATCAGTGGGTCAATGGAAGCCAGGTATGTAGATGCTAGAAGGTTCTTAAGGAATTCAGGTAAATAGAAGTTAGAAGGTTCTAGAAATAAGGTAAGAATAAGTCTGGTATGAGTTTAATAAAAAATAAATAAGTTCCTAATTAGGTAACAAAATCTGGCTTAAATAATCGAAGTTTATAGTCTAATTTGCATTGTTTGTCTCTACCTCTGTTGATTTGTTAGTAGTGTTAGTATCGCAATACTTTCAACGGAAAGTACTCTGAATTATTACAGTAATAAACTGGGAGTGATCTCCCCTAAACTTTCTCGAATATTCTTATATAACTTGGAATGTAGACATGATTTTTAATTACTTAAACTTTTAAAAATAGAATAGAATCTCATAGAAAAAACATTGCGCACCAAACAAACGCCGAAACAAAATGTGCATAATAGTGCGCAATATTATTAGTACTTTATAAATTTACTTGCGTTTTTTGAGAAATCGGAAATAGCGTAAATTAGTACTTCCGGTCAACAAAAATGACTCAAAATTTGAAAGAAGGTGAAGAAATAGATCTATTACTTACATGTGAAATTTCATTTATCTATCTGAAATAGTACTCAAGTTATAGGCTTTTGAAAAATTCAAAGTAGAAAAAGTACCACTTCAGGTTATCGAAAATTGCTAAAAAGTTGATACGGATCTACGATTTTGATAAAATACTTATATATGAAATTTCATCAACCTAGCTGTAACGGTACTCAAGTTATCGTGTTTACACACAGACACACAGACAGACAGACAGACAGACAGACAGACAGACAGACAGACAGACACACAGACACACAGACAGACACACAGACATACGGACAAGATTGCAAAATTATGTTTTTCCGTATCAGTGAGGTGTAAAACGTCGAGATTTCCAAAAATCTCGATTTTTTTTTTGCACGATTACAAGACTTTCTCTATACTTCGTATATACGAGAAAGTAAAAATGAATTTGAAACAATAATAATTTGACACATAAGATTATTAGATAAACATAATAAAAGACAAAGCAATAAATTACCTTAGTGCAGATTAAGTTGACCATAGCTGACCATAGTTGACCAAAGTTGACCATAGTTGACCATAGTTGACCAAAGTTGACCATAGTTGACCATAGTTGACCATAGTTGACCGGAGTAAGTTTGTTCCTACACTGCCAGTTGGCCTCAGCTGAATGGGGTGTGGGAGAACCCAAGGACCCAGACTTGCAGAGATGCGTCGTCCTCTTCTTTGACGTAGCGCAGCCACGACCCGTCTGGAAGAGTATATCCTGTGGCTATAACACCAATGGTTTCTTGTGCCAGAAAAATCAGAGTAAGTTTTTGGGAAGGTGTGTGTGTGTGGGTGGGTGGGGGGGGGGGGGGGTTAGCGGTATGTTTGTTGGGGTTGAGGTTTGAGTTAGGGTATGTTTGTACAATGTCCTCAATAATGGAGATTCTTGGTGCAATGGAATCCTAATATTTACACATTTTTCTTACCAGGTGAGCCAGAATATATTGCTATTGATCCAGGTAGGCCTGTATTTATTTTATTTCATATTATATATATATATATATATATATATATATATATATATATATATATATATATATATATATATATATATATATATATATATATATATATATATATATATATGCACATATATTTACGCTACATATAGGCTATTTATATAGGCTTTATAAAGTATATATATATATATATATATATATATATATATATATATATATATATATATATATATATATATATATGTATGTATTATACACATATATCATGGTGTTTTTAGAGCCTTTTAGTGAGAAATGTGGCCAGTCTTGGGTTGAAAGGTCAGGAACAGATTTTTGTTACCAGTTTAGAGACCTGAGCACAACATGGGATGAAGCAGTGATGATTTGCAACAACCAGAATGGGAGCTTAGCCAGTATTACGTCACAGGAGGAACAGAGGTTCATCAGTCGTAAGTCTACGTTATGTTGGTCAGGTTATAATGAGGGGGTGCTCAAGGCTACACCATTTAGCCTGGGTATAAAGACATTTAAGGCTACACCGTCTAGCCTGGGTATAAAGACGTTCTAGCAAGGGTATAATGACGGGGCGTTCAAGCTACACCAACTACACATACAATAGCTAAATGTTGTTGAAAAAAACAAAACCAGGTTTCTGCTTTGATTGATTTTATTCACTAAGTAGGGTGGGAGAAAGGGGGGGGGAGGTAAGGGATGAAAACAAAGAATACTTTCCTGAATAATTTGTCTAACATTCAAACGTTGTCTTTTCTCATGTTAAATAAATGCTTGGCATACCTCTGAATACTATACGCAGACATTTAATTACCATTTGATTAAATTGAAGTATATTTTCAAATCTTCCTCAAATATCTGACCAAGTATGGAGAATTATTCGACTGTGTGTAATATCTCGCAACATTGGTGAATAGATAATAACACATAGCAACACTTAGAAAAAATGTCTATAGCTTTTCTCTGTAATAGCATCACACGTTTTTCTACAGTTAATATAGGCACTAGCAGTATGGCCTTGTGGATTGGCGCCACTGAGAAGTTTAAAGAGTACGGCTGGCAGTGGATAGATGGCGCTCCGTTTGTGTACGAGAACTGGGAGGAAGGTTGCGCATTTTTCTCTTTTATACGGGGCTGCACATTTTGGTTTCATTTTATACTGGGCTGCACATTTCGGTTTCATTTTATACTGGGCTGCACATTTCGGTTTCATTTTATACTGGTTGCACATTTCGGTTTCATTTTATATTGGCTGCACATTTTGGTTTCATTTTATACTGGGCTGCACATTTCGGTTTCATTTTGGGTTTGGTTCAGTTGAAAAAAGCAAGAGCTATCTATCGAAAAAACAGTATATTTTATATTAATTAAATTTTTTGAAAATTCTGACGAAAAACGATTTACATTAAATTTGGATCTAGCTGCAATGATGTATGAATGAACAAAAATGTGTCACAGATTTCATGCAATGAGGTATGAATGAGCCACAAATCTATCTCAGATTTCATGCAATGAGGTATGAATGAGATAAAAATCTATCTCAGATTTCATTCAATGAGGTATGAATGAGATAAAATCTATCTCAGATTTCATTCAATGAGGTATGAATGAGATAAAAATCTATCTCAGATTTCATTCAATGAGGTATGAATGAGATAAAAATCTATCTCAGATTTCATTCAATGAGGTATGAATGAGATAAAAATCTATCTCAGATTTCATTCAATGAGGTATGAATGAGATAAAATCTATCTCAGATTTCATTCAATGAGGTATGAATGAGATAAAAATCTATCTCAGATTTCATTCAATGAGGTATGAATGAGATAAAAATCTATCTCAGATTTCATTCAATGAGGTATGAATGAGATAAAAATCTATCTCAGATTTCATTCAATGAGGTATGAATGAGATAAAATCTATCTCAGATTTCATTCAATGAGGTATGAATGAGATAAAAATCTATCTCAGATTTCATTCAATGAGGTATGAATGAGATAAAAATCTATCTCAGATTTCATTCAATGAGGTATGAATGAGATAAAATCTATCTCAGATTTCATTCAATGAGGTATGAATGAGATAAAATCTATCTCAGATTTCATTCAATGAGGTATGAATGAGATAAAATCTATCTCAGATTTCATTCAATGAGGTATGAATGAGATAAAATCTATCTCAGATTTCATTCAATGAGGTATGAATGAGATAAAAATCTATCTCAGATTTCATTCAATGAGGTATGAATGAGATAAAAATCTATCTCAGATTTCATTCAATGAGGTATGAATGAGATAAAAATCTATCTCAGATTTCACCACCATTGATTCCACGGACTGTGCAGTGATTATGACGTCGACAAGAAAATGGCGACCTCTCGGCTGTTTCACATCGAATGGTTTTGTCTGTAAAAAAAGAGGTTGGATTTATTCCTTTCTTACAGAATCTTTTTGAACTTTACACAATTTTTTTTCCTCCAGCAAATGGTTGAATTTTACAAAAGTTGAGTTTTTAATTAATGAACCTGTTTGATAAAAAATTTAGGCCACAGATTTGTTAATTCAAGTTTTTCATTGTAAGAAACACGATGATGGTGATTATGATGATGATGCTGGTAAAAAGAATTATTAATGCTAAAAATTTGGCCTTACATTAAACCGACCCGTTTTTTTCTAATGTAAAATGTTATACCATCAGTGAGACGCGAGCTGTTGTAAATTTTTTTTTGAACATTTGTTTGGAAGTCTGCTAGTTAAGACAGAATTTAGAACTTTGCTAAATGGAGTCTTTAAAACAGCCGTAGTTAGCATATTTACAGACTCTTTGTTTAGACATGTGCTGTTATTTGAGATTTTGTAGCTTAAAAAGTTACACTGCGAAATGGATCCGGGCTTTCTTATTGGTGAGATTAAGTTTTGAAGTAACTATAATGTTACTTAAATAAACTTTAAACGTCTCAGAGAGACAAAAAAATAAGTACATTTTCATTTTTGTTTCGTTCCATTTCAAAATCGTTTCGTTGAAATAGTAATATGGCTTCAGATTATGTTAATTACTTTTTTAACACAAAGGCATTTAAACCGAGTAAAATATTTTAATTATAATTATCCCACGTGAATAAACTTCTAACGAAAATAAACCTTATAGCTAACATTTAGTTTAAAGATGATTTCTTTCAGTACTGAACACATTCTCGACGGAAAGTCCCCCCAACACAGTGACGTCTTCTGTTGGTGAGTTTCAAGAATTTTGACGATAACAAATCAAATACGATGTACACAGAGAGTTATAAAAATGAGATTGCTTTTAGTACTAAATGAGGATTATGATTTTAAGAAATGAAAATGTAAGATCCCTCTTCCATTCTGCTTGTAAACAACACCTACTCATGTTGTTAAAGAATATATTTTGTTATTGGACACACTGTTGTTTTATGGGGGCAGCCTGAAGGATTGATATTGCAGGGGTATATAGACATAGTGTTTACTGACTAGTTGATAAACTAATAAAACTAGGAACATAATTTTATCCCAATCTTTAGCGCAAGCTTTCGTTTCCTTCAGTAATTGTATACCGCATATCTCAGTGTTACATTAGCCTGATGTTCTGGTGTAGTCAACTGTTTGTCCTAGTCTCAATGTGTGTTATTTATTTGGTGGAGATGTTAAATTTGTGCTTGTGATGAGGTTGTTTTAATTTTAACTGTTGGGGTAGTCTAAATTGTTACTTACCCACATTTCTAGCCAACGTTTTCATGGCCCGCTAGGTTCCAGAATTCCGCTTCCATTACCATATAAACTAAACTCTAATTGTTCCAGAGATCAGCTTATAAACTCTAATTTTCCCGGAAATCAGCTTATAAACTAAACTCTAATTTTCCCAGAAATCAGCTTATAAACTAAACTCTAATTTCTCAGAGATCAGCATATAAACTAAACTCTAATTTTCTCAGAGATCAGCTTATAAACTAAACTCTAATTTTCCCAGAAATCAGCTTATAAACTAAACTCTAATTTTCCCAGAAATCAGCTTATAAACTAAACTCTAATTTCTCAGAGATCAGCTTATAAACTAAACTCTAATTTTCCCAGAGATCAGCTTATAAACTTAACTCTAATTTTCCCAGAGATCAGCTTATAAACTAAACTCTAATTTTCCCAGAGATCAGCTTATAAACTTAACTCTAAATTTCCCAGAGATCAGCTTCCAAACTTAACTCTTATGTTCCGAGAGATCAGCTTATAAAGTAAACTAAACTCTAATTTTCCCAGAGATCAGCTAATAAACTAAACTCTAAATGTTCCAGAGATCAGCTTCAAAACTAAACTGTAATTGTTCCAGAGATCAGCTTATAAAGTAAACTAAACTCTAATTTTCCCAGAGATCAGCTAATAAACTAAACTCTAAATGTTCCAGAGATCAGCTTCAAAACTAAACTGTAATTGTTCCAGAGATCAGCTTATAAAGTAAACTAAACTCTAATTTTCCCAGAGATCAGCTTATAAACTTAACTCTAATTTTCCCAGAGATCAGCTTATAAAGTAAACTAAACTCTAATTTTCCCAGTGATCAGCTTATAAACTAAACTCTAAATTCCCCAGAGATCAGCTTATAAACTAAACTCTAAATTCCCCAGAGATCAGCTTATAAACTAAACTCTAAATTCCCCAGAGATCAGCTTATAAACTAAACTCTAAATTCCCCAGAGATCAGCTTATAAACTAAACTCTAATTTCCCCAGAGATCAGCTTATAAACTAAACTCTAAATTCCCCAGAGATCAGCTAATAAACTAAACTCTAAATGTTCCAGAGATCAGCTTCAAAACTAAACTGTAATTGTTCCAGAGATCAGCTTATAAAGTAAACTAAACTCTAAATTCCCCAGAGATCAGCTTATAAACTAAACTCTAAATTCCCCAGAGATCAGCTTATAAACTAAACTCTAAATTCCCCAGAGATCAGCTTATAAACTAAACTCTAAATTCCCCAGAGATCAGCCACTATGGCTGTCAACCGGAGTGGGTGCTCTACAATAAAAAATGCTACTTGATCAAGGCAGATTCGGTCACGTGGACGACAGCAGACATCTTGTGCCAGAAAGAAAGTGGAAATCTCGTTAGCATCAACTCTGTCAAAGAGAACTTGTTTATCTGGAGCAGTTTCCCAGGTGGTTGGTCGTGGTTTCCTTTCTTAGAGAGCTACACATCTTAGGGAATTGTAAATTAAATTAAATTTACAAAAATTCTAATCACACATAGTAGTTTTCAGGATTAATTTAATTAACTGCTATTTTTGAAGTTTTAACAGTTTCAAGAGAAAATTTAAAAATAATTTATCCTAAATTTACATGTGACATTGGATGTGTTTCATGTGATTCCTATCTTCACCATTTCATGTGTTTCATGTGATTTACATTTCATGTGTTTCATGTGGCTTACATTTCATGTGTTTCATGTGATTTACATTTCATGTGTTTCATGTGATTTACATTTCATGTGTTTCATGTGATTCCCATTTCATGTGTTTCGTGTGATTTCTATCTTCACCATTCCATGTGTTTAATGTGATTTACATTTCATGTGTTTAATGTGATTTCTATCTTCACCATTCCATGTGTTTAATGTGATTCCCATTTCATGTGTTTCATGTGATCCCCCCCCCCTCCCATGCAGACAACTCACAGTACAAATACTGGATAGGCCTGGAGAAAAAAGAAAACGAATATGTGTATCGCTGGGCAGATAACTCTCTGGTCAACTTTACCAACTGGAAATACAAGGCCCACAGAACGTACAATAAACTTCACTTGTGTGTGGTGATCAATGAAGAGGTGGGTGTTACACTTAAGTGGGTTGATCACTTGTATGTGTTGATCACTTGTGTGGGTTGATCACTTGTGTGGGTTGATCACTTGTGTGGGTTGATCACTTGTGTGGGTTGATAAATTGTGTGGGTTGATAAATTGTGTGGGTTGATAAATTGTGTGGGTTGATAAATTGTGTGGGTTGATCACTTGTGTGGGTTGATAAATTGTGTGGGTTAATCACTTGTGTGGGTTGATAAATTGTGTGGGTTAATCACTTGTGTGGGTTGATAAATTGTGTGGGTTAATCACTTGTGTGGGTTGATCACTTGTGTGGGTTGATAAATTGTGTGGGTTGATAAATTGTGTGGGTTGATCACTTGTGTGGGTTGATCACTTGTGTGGGTTGATAAATTGTGTGGGTTGATCACTTGTGTGGGTTGATAAATTGTGTGGGTTAATAAATTGTGTGGGTTAATAACTTGTGTGGGTTAATAAATTGTGTGGGTTAATAACTTGTGTGGGTTGATAAATTGTGTGGGTTGATCACTTGTGTGGGTTGATCACTTGTGTGGGTTGATAAATTGTGTGGGTTGATCACTTGTGTGGGTTGATAAATTGTGTGGGTTAATCACTTGTGTGGGTTGATAAATTGTGTGGGTTGATAAATTGTGTGGGTTAATAACTTGTGTGGGTTGATAAATTGTGTGGGTTGATCACTTGTGTGGGTTGATCACTTGTGTGGGTTGATAAATTGTGTGGGTTGATCACTTGTGTGGGTTGATAAATTGTGTGGGTTAATCACTTGTGTGGGTTGATAAATTGTGTGGGTTGATAAATTGTGTGGGTTGATAAATTGTGTGGGTTGATAAATTGTGTGGGTTGATAAATTGTGTGGGTTGATAAATTGTGTGGGTTGATAAATTGTGTGGGTTGATAAATTGTGTGGGTTGATAAATTGTGTGGGTTGATAAATTGTGTGGGTTGATAAATTGTGTGGGTTGATAAATTGTGTGGGTTGATAAATTGTGTGGGTTGATCACTTGTGTGGGTTGATAAATTGTGTGGGTTGATCACTTGTGTGGGTTGATAAATTGTGTGGGTTGATCACTTGTGTGGGTTGATAAATTGTGTGGGTTGATCACTTGTGTGGGTTGATAAATTGTGTGGGTTGATCACTTGTGTGGGTTGATAAATTGTGTGGGTTAATCACTTGTGTGGGTTGATAAATTGTGTGGGTTGATAAATTGTGTGGGTTGATAAATTGTGTGGGTTGATCACTTGTGTGGGTTGATCACTTGTGTGGGTTGATAAATTGTGTGGGTTGATAAATTGTGCGGGTTTGATAAATTGTGTGGGTTGATCACTTGTGTGGGTTGATAAATTGTGTGGGTTGATCACTTGTGTGGGTTGATAAATTGTGTGGGTTGATCACTTGTGTGGGTTGATAAATTGTGTGGGTTGATCACTTGTGTGGGTTGATAAATTGTGTGGGTTAATCACTTGTGTGGGTTGATAAATTGTGTGGGTTGATAAATTGTGTGGGTTGATAAATTGTGTGGGTTGATCACTTGTGTGGGTTGATCACTTGTGTGGGTTGATAAATTGTGTGGGTTGATAAATTGTGTGGGTTGATCACTTGTGTGGGTTGATAAATTGTGTGGGTTGATAAATTGTGTGGGTTGATAAATTGTGTGGGTTGATAAATTGTGTGGGTTGATAAATTGTGTGGGTTGATAAATTGTGTGGGTTGATAAATTGTGTGGGTTGATAAATTGTGTGGGTTGATAAATTGTGTGGGTTGATAAATTGTGTGGGTTGATAAATTGTGTGGGTTGATCACTTGTGTGGGTTGATAAATTGTGTGGGTTGATCACTTGTGTGGGTTGATAAATTGTGTGGGTTGATCACTTGTGTGGGTTGATAAATTGTGTGGGTTGATCACTTGTGTGGGTTGATAAATTGTGTGGGTTAATCACTTGTGTGGGTTGATAAATTGTGTGGGTTGATAAATTGTGTGGGTTGATAAATTGTGTGGGTTGATCACTTGTGTGGGTTGATCACTTGTGTGGGTTGATAAATTGTGTGGGTTGATAAATTGTGTGGGTTGATCACTTGTGTGGGTTGATAAATTGTGTGGGTTGATAAATTGTGTGGGTTGATAAATTGTGTGGGTTGATAAATTGTGTGGGTTGATAAATTGTGTGGGTTGATAAATTGTGTGGGTTGATAAATTGTGTGGGTTGATCACTTGTGTGGGTTGATAAATTGTGTGGGTTGATCACTTGTGTGGGTTGATAAATTGTGTGGGTTGATCACTTGTGTGGGTTGATAAATTGTGTGGGTTGATCACTTGTGTGGGTTGATAAATTGTGTGGGTTAATCACTTGTGTGGGTTGATAAATTGTGTGGGTTGATAATTTGTGTGGGTTGATAAATTGTGTGGGTTGATCACTTGTGTGGGTTGATCACTTGTGTGGGTTGATAAATTGTGTGGGTTGATAAATTGTGTGGGTTGATCACTTGTGTGGGTTGATAAATTGTGTGGGTTGATAAATTGTGTGGGTTGATAAATTGTGTGGGTTGATAAATTGTGTGGGTTGATAAATTGTGTGGGTTGATAAATTGTGTGGGTTGATAAATTGTGTGGGTTGATCACTTGTGTGGGTTGATAAATTGTGTGGGTTGATCACTTGTGTGGGTTGATAAATTGTGTGGGTTGATCACTTGTGTGGGTTGATAAATTGTGTGGGTTGATAAATTGTGTGGGTTGATAAATTGTGTGGGTTGATCACTTGTGTGGGTTGATAAATTGTGTGGGTTGATAAATTGTGTGGGTTGATCACTTGTGTGGGTTGATCACTTGTGTGGGTTGATAAATTGTGTGGGTTGATAAATTGTGTGGGTTGATCACTTGTGTGGGTTGATAAATTGTGTGGGTTGATCACTTGTGTGGGTTGATAAATTGTGTGGGTTGATAAATTGTGTGGGTTGATAAATTGTGTGGGTTGATAAATTGTGTGGGTTGATAAATTGTGTGGGTTGATCACTTGTGTGGGTTGATAAATTGTGTGGGTTGATCACTTGTGTGGGTTGATAAATTGTGTGGGTTGATCACTTGTGTGGGTTGATAAATTGTGTGGGTTGATCACTTGTGTGGGTTGATAAATTGTGTGGGTTAATCACTTGTGTGGGTTGATAAATTGTGTGGGTTGATAAATTGTGTGGGTTGATAAATTGTGTGGGTTGATCACTTGTGTGGGTTGATCACTTGTGTGGGTTGATAAATTGTGTGGGTTGATAAATTGTGTGGGTTGATCACTTGTGTGGGTTGATAAATTGTGTGGGTTGATAAATTGTGTGGGTTGATAAATTGTGTGGGTTGATAAATTGTGTGGGTTGATAAATTGTGTGGGTTGATAAATTGTGTGGGTTGATCACTTGTGTGGGTTGATAAATTGTGTGGGTTGATCACTTGTGTGGGTTGATAAATTGTGTGGGTTGATCACTTGTGTGGGTTGATAAATTGTGTGGGTTGATCACTTGTGTGGGTTGATAAATTGTGTGGGTTAATCACTTGTGTGGGTTGATAAATTGTGTGGGTTGATAATTTGTGTGGGTTGATAAATTGTGTGGGTTGATCACTTGTGTGGGTTGATCACTTGTGTGGGTTGATAAATTGTGTGGGTTGATAAATTGTGTGGGTTGATCACTTGTGTGGGTTGATAAATTGTGTGGGTTGATAAATTGTGTGGGTTGATAAATTGTGTGGGTTGATAAATTGTGTGGGTTGATAAATTGTGTGGGTTGATAAATTGTGTGGGTTGATAAATTGTGTGGGTTGATCACTTGTGTGGGTTGATAAATTGTGTGGGTTGATCACTTGTGTGGGTTGATAAATTGTGTGGGTTGATCACTTGTGTGGGTTGATAAATTGTGTGGGTTGATAAATTGTGTGGGTTGATAAATTGTGTGGGTTGATCACTTGTGTGGGTTGATAAATTGTGTGGGTTGATAAATTGTGTGGGTTGATCACTTGTGTGGGTTGATCACTTGTGTGGGTTGATAAATTGTGTGGGTTGATAAATTGTGTGGGTTGATCACTTGTGTGGGTTGATAAATTGTGTGGGTTGATCACTTGTGTGGGTTGATAAATTGTGTGGGTTGATAAATTGTGTGGGTTGATAAATTGTGTGGGTTAATAAATTGTGTGGGTTAATAACTTGTGTGGGTTGATAAATTGTGTGGGTTGATCACTTGTGTGGGTTGATAAATTGTGTGGGTTGATAAATTGTGTGGGTTGATAAATTGTGTGGGTTGATCACTTGTGTGGGTTGATAAATTGTGTGGGTTGATAAATTGTGTGGGTTGATAAATTATGTGGGTTGATAAATTGTGTGGGTTGATAAATTGTGTGGGTTGATCACTTGTGTGGGTTGATCACTTGTGTGGGTTGATAAATTGTGTGGGTTGATCACTTGTGTGGGTTGATCACTTGTGTGGGTTGATAAATTGTGTGGGTTGATAAATTGTGTGGGTTGATAAATTGTGTGGGTTGATAAATTGTGTGGGTTGATCACTTGTGTGGGTTGATCACTTGTGTGGGTTGATAAATTGTGTGGGTTGATAAATTGTGTGGGTTGATAAATTGTGTGGGTTGATAAATTGTGTGGGTTGATAAATTGTGTTGATAAATTGTATGGGTTGAGCAATGATGAGGTGGGTGTTACCTACAGATTTCTATTTATACCTTGTAAGGTACACCAGGCAATAATTTGCACGATTAGACAAGACAATAAAACAACAAATAATTGGTGTATCACCTATTTATTAATTCATTGTGCTGTATAATTAAAACAATTAAATTAAAGAGTAACATGTTTCATGCATGCTTTGTATATATATATATATATATATATATATATATATATATATATATATATATATATACATATATATATATATATATATATATATATATATATATATATATATATATATATATATATATATATATATATATATATATATATATATATACTTCATATTTTCTCAAGGTCGGAGAGTGGCGTGATGAAGTTTGTGACCTTGTAACAGCAGGCTACATCTGTGAGAAGCCCATGGAGTTGTTGAATTACTTGACGATGCCAGCCTACAAAGTGGGCTGTGATTATGTGAGGTTTTTCTTGGCATTTCAAAGATAATTACATTATATTTTTAACTAGTTCGAAACTTTGATGAGAGATGTGTCCCTTTATGTTTGACATTTTAAAGTGTTACTTTTTAATAATTGTCAGTATCAGTTGTATAAAATAGCTTGTAATAACGTTTAGTTATGCCATAGCACAATGAAAAAATACCTGGTTTAATTTTGAACGTATTAAGCCACAAGTTGATGTATATAACCCACATTAAACCACACGTTGATGTGTATATCCCACATTATACCACACGTTGATATGTATACCCCACATTAAACCACACGTTGATGTGTATACCCCACATTATACCACACGTTGATGTGTATACCCCACATTAAACCACACGTTGATGTGTATCCCACATTAAACCACACGTTGATGTGTATACCCAGGGGCGGAACTACAGTGCCGCCAGACCCCGCAATGCGGGGGGGCCCACGACGTTTAGGGGCCCAGTTCCGACCAAAAAAAAATGAATTTTCTTTTCATAAATAATGTTTTTCGTGCACCTTGATAGTGGTTAGCCCCCCCGAAAAATTTTTACCGCCCCCCCGAACGAAATGAAATTTATATAATTTATATAGAAAATATATACTTTTAACAGTGTCCGCCCCCCCGAAGAAAGTTTACCGCCCCCCCGAAGATTTCAAGTGCCCCCCCCCCGGAGAAAAAAGTCTGGAAGAAACACTAACACACACTGTTGCGTAGAGAAATATAAAATTTATTAGAGCTCTACTTTGAAAGATAGGCAAACGTTCACAATACTTCCATGACTTACTGCCCTTCATTAAAACACGGGTGCCCATAAAGCTCATTTAAATAGTTTTGTACTATGTAAATTAAAGAGCCATTTATTCTCTTAATTATTATTTAAATAAGGCATACTAAAAAATCCTATAGCTATAAAAATGAATGTATTCAAAACTAATAATATAAATACAAAAAATCATAAAAATAAACATAACGCGAGAAACCATTGCAAAATCAAGCTTACGTGTTTATATAATTTTGATCAGCAAGCTTTTGGCCGTAAGTTTTGTTTTAAACATAAAGACGTAATACAGACATTTGTAAAACACGATTATTGCGGGCCCGAAATGAGTTCGGACTTATTGGTGACTTTGTTGTCTGGTTCGTTATATCACAGTGGTTATACATTGCAATAAAATAGATTAAAATACTCAGGTAATAGACTATTTAAAATTTTGAGAAGCGGGCTACTTATAAATATATATATATATATATATATATATATATATATATATATATATATATATATATATATATATATATATATATACATATATACATACATACATACACACACATATATATATATATATATATATATATATATATATATATATATATATATATATATATATATATATATATATATGTATGTGTATGTATGTATGTATATATTTGTATATATATATATATATATATATATATATATATATATATATATAGGGGGGGGGCCAAACATTTTTTGCGGGGGAGCCTTTTTTTTCTAGTTCCGCCACTGTGTATACCCCACATTGAACCACACGTTGATGTGTATATCCCACATTATACCACACGTTGATATGTAGACCCCACATTAAACCACACGTTGATGTGTATATCCCACATTATACCACACGTTGATGTGTATACCCCACATTATACCACACGTTGATGTATACCCCACATTAAACCACACGTTGATTTGTATACCCCACATCATACCACACGTTGATGTGTATACCCCACATTAAACCACACTTTGATGTGTATACCCCACATTAAACCACACGTTGATGTGTATACCCCACATTAAACCACACGTTGATGTGTATACCCCACATTAAACCACACGTTGATGTGTATACCCCACATTATACCACACGTTGATGTGTATACCCCACATTAAACCACACGTTGATGTGTATACCCCACATTATACCACACGTTGATGTATACCCCACATTAAACCACACGTTTGATGTGTATACCCACACTAAACCACACGTTTGATGTGTATACCCCGCATTAAGCCACACGTTGATGTGTATACCCCACATTAAACCACACGTTGATGTATCCCACATTAAACCACACGTTGATGTATCCCACATTAAACCACACGTTGATGTATCCCACATTAAACCACACGTTGATGTGTATCCCACATTAAAACACACGTTGATGTGTATACCCCACATTAAACCACACGTTTGATGTGTATACCCCACATTCAGGACAGCTTTGGTTATGGCCTCTACTGTTTTACCGTGTTTGATGACCCAAAGACATGGACCGGTGCCATGGACTTCTGTCAGTCCATTCAAGGCCATTTGGCCGTTATACCTGACAGGTAACAAATGGCCAACTCTGACGTCACATTTTTGTTATATCTAACGTACATTAAAATATATAGATAAGTAAATAAGAATATACAGATAAACCTATTTTTTCATGTTTTTCATGTGATGTGTAAACTATTGTCACCGCTTAAATAAGTTTTAACAAATTAAAAAATAAATTTTTCGTTTTTAAATAAAATAACATTATTCTTATTTATAACATAAAAGTGCACAATATTTTAAACAACATTACCTTTGTTAATTGTTAATGTCAACATTTTAATGGTTAAAAAAACGTTTCCCAGGAAAACTAACGCCTTCATCGTGTCACAACTGACCAAGATAAACAAAATCTACTGGATCGGACTTCAAATGTCTAATGAAACCATTCGTTGGGTGGATGGCGATCCAGTCACAGAGTTCCCCGTCAATGTTGTTTACAATGGTAAAGTCACAAACTATACCGGTGATGTACAATGGTAAAGTTACAAACTTAACCGGTTATTTACAATGGTAAAGTTACAAACTTTAACCGGTTATTTACAATGGTAAAGTCACAAACTTTAATCGGTTATTTACAATGGTAAAGTCACAAACTCTAACCGGTTATTTACAATGGTAAAGTCACAAACTCTAACCGGTTATTTACAATGGTAAAGTTACAAACTTAATCGGTTATTTACAATGGTAAAGTTACAAACTTAATCGGTTATTTACAATGGTAAAGTTACAAACTTAACCGGAGATGTACAATGGTAAAGTCACACACTTTAACCGGTTATTTACAATGGTAAAGTTACAAACTTAACCGGTTATTTACAATGGTAAAATCACAAACTTAACCGGCTATTTACAATGGTAATGTTACAAACTTAACCGGTTATTTACAATGGTAAAGTCACAAACTTTAACCGGTTATTTACAATGGTAAAGTCACAAACTCTAACCGGTTATTTACAATGGTAAAGTCACAAACGTAACCGGTTATTTACAATGGTAAAGTCACAAACTTTAACCGGTTATTTACAATGGTAAAGTCACAAACTTTAACCGGTTATTTACAATGGTAAAGTCACAATCTCTAACCGGTTATTTACAATGGTAAAGTCACAAACTTAACCGGTTATTTACAATGGTAAAGTCACAAACTTAACCGGTTATTTACAATGGTAAAGTTACAAACTTAATCGGTTATTTACAATGGTAAATTTACAAACTTAACCGGAGATGTACAATGGTTAAGTCACAAACTTTAACCGGTTATTTACAATGGTAAAGTCATACACTGTAACTGGTCATTTACTTCACATAATACCTATATGCCCATAATACCTATATCCTCATAAACATAAATTAATACTCACACCTATACCTGTACACGCGCCCCTACTACACAATCATGCACACACAAACACACAAGCAACATGCGTATATGCATCACGCATACAAATACACAAACACATATCGTCACAGTCTTCTATTAAAACAAATGTGTATATTTATGTAAGTATATATGTAAATATAAATGTAACCATATATGGTAATCATATGTGGTAAACATACATACATAATATTTACATGTCAAATTTTAAAGAATGAAAAAACGACTTTTAAAGTGAATGAGCATATTTACTTCATGGGCGCTTCTTATACTCATCTAGCAAGCTTGAGTAACTATGGCTGTTTCATACATTCATCTACCAAGTTTGAGTAACTATGACTGTTTCATATATTCATCTAGCTAGTTTGAGCAACAATGGCTGCTTCATCATGAAGTACGAGCTGAGAAAACCGGTCTGGGTGAGCGTCAGCTGCCAGAGAAAACACATTTTTCTATGTCAGACACCCCGTGGAGGTTTCGTTAAGCCGGAGATTCCAGCTCCAGCACCAGAGGCCCTGTGTCCGGCAAGCTGGTGGCTGTTTGAGGACCGCTGCTATCTGGTGAGGCTAGGGCTGGGGTTGGGGGTGGGGGCTGAGGGCTGAGGGAGGGGCTAGGGGTGGGGGTGGGCTGTGGCTAGGTCTAGGGCTAGGTCTAGGGCTAGTACTAATATCCATTACTTGAATTAATTTCAATTTATATTCAGCTTTGAAATTTGGACAAAGCACCGCTGTTGTCTAACCCCTATTGCCAAAGCTACGGTGTGGTCAAACCCCCTATGATCAAACCCTCTATGGTCAAAGTACTGCTATGGTCAAAGCCCCGCTGTGGTCAAACCCCCTATGGTCAAAGCCCCTATGGTCAAACCCCTATGATCAAACCCCTATGGTCAAACCCCTATGGTAAAAGTCACGCTGTGGTCAAACCCCCTATGATCAAACCCCCTATGGTCAAACCCCCTATGGTGAAAGCACCGCTATGGTCAAAGCCCCGCTGTAGTCAAACCCCCTATGGTCAAAGCCCCTATGGTCAAACCCCTATGGTCAAAACCCCGCTGTGGTCAAACCCCCTATGGTCAAACCCCCTATGGTAATACCCCCTATGGTCAAAGCACCGCTGTGGTCAAACCCCTATGGTCAAAGCACCTGTGGTCAAAGCACCTAGTACCAAAAGAATATTAGCATCTTCGTAATTATGCGCAGTATTTAGAATAAACGTATTTAAGCGTATTTAATTATCATGATTTAAGAAATCACATATTTTAGATTTTTTCTATATATTTCTTTAAGTTACATATTATATTTACAAATTTACTGCTTTTGCGATAAGAATGGACATGTTTTGAAAGTTCGTTCCAGAGAAGAAAAAATGGGCTGATGCGGAGAAGAAATGCCAGGCCCGCGGAGCAAACTTGGCCAGCGTACACAGTGTCACTCAGGCCGTCTTGTTGACCCATGCTGTGGCAAGATTAGGGTGGGACACAAGATTAGGGTGGGACACACGTTTTTTTATTGACTGCTGTGGTAACATTAGGGTGGGACACACGTTTTTTTTATTGACTGCTGTGGCAAGATTAGGGTGTGACACAAGATTAGGGTGGGACACACGTTTTTTATTGACTGCTGTGGCAAGATTAGGGTGGGACACACGTTTTTTTATTGAACAACGCTGTGGCAAGATTAGGGTGGGACACACGTTTTTTTATTGACTGCTGTGGCAAGATTAGGATGGGACACACGTTTTTTTATTGACCCATGCTGTGACAAGATTAGGGTGGGACACACGTTTTTTTATTGACTGATGTGGCAAGATTAGGGTGGGACACACGATTTTTTATTGACTGATGTAGCAAGATTAGGGTGGGACACACGTTTTTTTTATTGACCCATGCTGTGGCAAGATTAGGGTGGGACACACGTTTTTTATTGACCCACGCTGTGGCAAGATAAGGGTGGGACACACGTTTTTTTATTGACCCACGCTGTGGCGAGATTAGGGTGGGACACACGTTTTTTTATTGATAGATGTAGCAAGATTAGGGTGGGACACACGTTTTTTTTATTGACAGCTGTGGCAAGATTAGGGTGGGACAAACGTTTTTTTATTTGACCCATGCTGTGGCAAGATTAGGGTGGGACACACGTTTTTTTATTTGACCCATGCTGTGGCAAGATTAGGATGAGACACAAGTTTTTTTATTGACTGCTGTAGCAAGATTAGGGTGGGACACACGTTTTTTATTGACCCATGCTGTGGCAAGATTAGGGTGGGACACACGTTTTTTTATTGACCCACGCTGTGGCGAGATTAGGGTGGGACACACGTTTTTTTATTGACTGCTGTGGTAAGATTAGGGTGGGACACACGTTTTTTTATTGACTGCTGTGGCAAGATTAGGGTGGGACACACGTTTTTTATCGACTGCTGTGGCAAGATTAGGGTGGGACACACGTTTTTTATTGACTGCTGTGGCAAGATTAGGGTGGGACACACGTTTTTTTATTGACCCATGCTGTGACAAGATTAGGGTGGGACACACGTTTTTATTATTGACTGATGTAGCAAGATTAGGGTGGGACACACGTTTTTTATTGACTGCTGTGACAAGATTAGGGTGGGACACACGTTTTTATTATTGACTGATGTAGCAAGATTAGGGTGGGACACACGTTTTTTATTGACTGCTGTGGCAAGATTAGGGTGGGACACACGTTTTTATTATTGACTGATGTAGCAAGATTAGGGTGGGACACACGTTTTTTATTGACTGCTGTGACAAGATTAGGGTGGGACACACGTTTTTATTATTGACTGATGTAGCAAGATTAGGGTGGGACACACGTTTTTTTATTGACTGCTGTGGCAAGATTAGGGTGGGACACACGTTTTTTTATTTGACCCATGCTGTGGCAAGATTAGGGTGAGACACAAGTTTTTTTATTGACTGCTGTAGCAAGATTAGGGTGGGACACACGTATTTTTTATTGACCCACGCTGTGGCGAGATTAGGGTGGGACACACGTTTTTTTATTGACTGCTGTGGTAAGATTAGGGTGGGACACACGTTTTTTTATTGACTGATGTAGCAAGATTAGGGTGGGACACACGTTTTTATTATTGACTGATGTAGCAAGATTAGGGTGGGACACACGTTTTTTATTGACCCATGCTGTGGCAAGATTAGGGTGGGACACACGTTTTTTTATTGACCCTTTAGGAGCAAGATTAGGGTGGGACACACGTTTTTTTATTGACCCTTTAGGAGCAAGATTAGGGTGGGACACACGTTTTTTTTATTGACCCACGCTGTGGCGAGATTAGGATGGGACACACGTTTTTTTATTGACTGCTGTGGTAAGATTAGGGTGGGACACACGTTTTTTTATTGACCCATGCTGTGGCAAGATTAGGGTGAGACACACATTTTTTTTTATTGATTGCCGTGACAAGATTAGGGTGGGACACACGTTTTTTTATTGACTGATGTGGCAAGATTAGGCTTCGACACAATTTTTTTATTGACTGATGTGACAAGATTAGGGTGGATCACACGTTTTTTTATTGACTGCTGTAGCAAGATTAGGGTGGGACACACGTTTTTTTATTGACCCATGCTGTGGCAAGATTAGGGTGAGACACACGTTTTTTTATTGACTGATGTGGCAAGATTAGGCTTCGACACAAGTTTTTTTTATTGACTGATGTGACAAGATTAGGGTGGATCACACGTTTTTTTATTGACTGCTGTAGCAAGATTAGGGTGGGACACACGTTTTTTTATTGACCCTTTAGGAGCAAGATTAGGGTGGGACACACGTTTTTTTATTGACCCTTTAGGAGCAAGATTAGGGTGGGACACACGTTTTTTTTATTGACCCACGCTGTGGCGAGATTAGGATGGGACACACGTTGTTTTTATTGACTGATGTGGCAAGATTAGGGTGGGACACACGTTTTTTTATTGACGGCTGTGGTAAGATTAGGGTGGGACACACGTTTTTTTATTGACCCATGCTGTGGCAAGATTAGGGTGAGACACACATTTTTTTTTATTGATTGCTGTGACAAGATTAGGGTGGGACACACGTTTTTTTATTGACTGATGTGGCAAGATTAGGCTTCGACACAAGTTTTTTTATTGACTGATGTGACAAGATTAGGGTGGATCACACGTTTTTTTATTGACTGCTGTAGCAAGATTAGGGTGGGACACACGTTTTTTTATTGACCCTTTAGGAGCAAGATTAGGGTGGGACACACGTTTTTTTATTGACTGATGTGGCAAGATTAGGGTGGGACACACGTTTTTTTATTGACCCATGCTGTGACAAGATTAGGGTGGGACACACGTTTTTTTATTGACTGATGTAGCAAGATTAGGGTGGGACACACGTTTTTTTATTGACCCACGCTGTGGCAAGATTAGGGTGGGACACACGTTTTTTTATTGACTGATGTAGCAAGATTAGGGTGGGACACACGTTTTTTTTATTGACCCACGCTGTGACAAGATTAGGGTGGGACACAAGTTTTTTTTTATTGACCCATTCTGTGGCAAGATTAGGGTGGGACACACGTTTATTGACTGCTGTGGCAAGATTGGGTGGGACACACGTTTTTTTATCGACTGCTGTGGCAAGATTAGGCTGGGACACACGTTTTTTTATTGACTGCTGTCGCAAGATTAGGGTGGGACACACGTTTTTTTATTGACTGATGTGGCAAGATTAGGCTTCGACACAAGTTTTTTTATTGACCCATGCTGTGACAAGATTAGGGTGGGACACACGTTTTTTTTTATATCGACTGCTGTGGCAAGATTAGGGTGGGACACACGTTTTTTTATTGACCCATGCTGTGGCAAGATTAGGGTGGGACACACGTTTTTTATTGACTGCTGTGGCAAGATTAGGGTGGGACACACGTTTTTTATCGACTGCTGTGGCAAGATTAGGGTGGGACACACGTTTTTTTATTGACTGCTGTGGCAAGATTAGGGTGGGACACACGTTTTTTATTGACTGCTGTGGCAAGATTAGGGTGGGACACACGTTTTTTTATTGACCCATGCTGTGACAAGATTAGGGTGGGACACACGTTTTTATTATTGACTGATGTAGCAAGATTAGGGTGGGACACACGTTTTTTATTGACTGCTGTGACAAGATTAGGGTGGGACACACGTTTTTATTATTGACTGATGTAGCAAGATTAGGGTGGGACACACGTTTTTTATTGACTGCTGTGGCAAGATTAGGGTGGGACACACGTTTTTATTATTGACTGATGTAGCAAGATTAGGGTGGGACACACGTTTTTTATTGACTGCTGTGACAAGATTAGGGTGGGACACACGTTTTTATTATTGACTGATGTAGCAAGATTAGGGTGGGACACACGTTTTTTTATTGACTGCTGTGGCAAGATTAGGGTGGGACACACGTTTTTTTATTTGACCCATGCTGTGGCAAGATTAGGGTGAGACACAAGTTTTTTTATTGACTGCTGTAGCAAGATTAGGGTGGGACACACGTATTTTTTATTGACCCACGCTGTGGCGAGATTAGGGTGGGACACACGTTTTTTTATTGACTGCTGTGGTAAGATTAGGGTGGGACACACGTTTTTTTATTGACTGATGTAGCAAGATTAGGGTGGGACACACGTTTTTATTATTGACTGATGTAGCAAGATTAGGGTGGGACACACGTTTTTTATTGACCCATGCTGTGGCAAGATTAGGGTGGGACACACGTTTTTTTATTGACCCTTTAGGAGCAAGATTAGGGTGGGACACACGTTTTTTTATTGACCCTTTAGGAGCAAGATTAGGGTGGGACACACGTTTTTTTTATTGACCCACGCTGTGGCGAGATTAGGATGGGACACACGTTTTTTTATTGACTGCTGTGGTAAGATTAGGGTGGGACACACGTTTTTTTATTGACCCATGCTGTGGCAAGATTAGGGTGAGACACACATTTTTTTTTATTGATTGCCGTGACAAGATTAGGGTGGGACACACGTTTTTTTATTGACTGATGTGGCAAGATTAGGCTTCGACACAATTTTTTTATTGACTGATGTGACAAGATTAGGGTGGATCACACGTTTTTTTATTGACTGCTGTAGCAAGATTAGGGTGGGACACACGTTTTTTTATTGACCCATGCTGTGGCAAGATTAGGGTGAGACACACGTTTTTTTATTGACTGATGTGGCAAGATTAGGCTTCGACACAAGTTTTTTTTATTGACTGATGTGACAAGATTAGGGTGGATCACACGTTTTTTTATTGACTGCTGTAGCAAGATTAGGGTGGGACACACGTTTTTTTATTGACCCTTTAGGAGCAAGATTAGGGTGGGACACACGTTTTTTTATTGACCCTTTAGGAGCAAGATTAGGGTGGGACACACGTTTTTTTTATTGACTGATGTGGCAAGATTAGGGTGGGACACACGTTTTTTTATTGACGGCTGTGGTAAGATTAGGGTGGGACACACGTTTTTTTATTGACCCATGCTGTGGCAAGATTAGGGTGAGACACACATTTTTTTTTATTGATTGCTGTGACAAGATTAGGGTGGGACACACGTTTTTTTATTGACTGATGTGGCAAGATTAGGCTTCGACACAAGTTTTTTTATTGACTGATGTGACAAGATTAGGGTGGATCACACGTTTTTTTATTGACTGCTGTAGCAAGATTAGGGTGGGACACACGTTTTTTTATTGACCCTTTAGGAGCAAGATTAGGGTGGGACACACGTTTTTTTATTGACTGATGTGGCAAGATTAGGGTGGGACACACGTTTTTTTTATTGACCCATGCTGTGACAAGATTAGGGTGGGACACACGTTTTTTTATTGACTGATGTAGCAAGATTAGGGTGGGACACACGTTTTTTTATTGACCCACGCTGTGGCAAGATTAGGGTGGGACACACGTTTTTTTATTGACTGATGTAGCAAGATTAGGGTGGGACACACGTTTTTTTTATTGACCCACGCTGTGACAAGATTAGGGTGGGACACAAGTTTTTTTTTATTGACCCATTCTGTGGCAAGATTAGGGTGGGACACACGTTTATTGACTGCTGTGGCAAGATTGGGTGGGACACACGTTTTTTTATCGACTGCTGTGGCAAGATTAGGCTGGGACACACGTTTTTTTATTGACTGCTGTCGCAAGATTAGGGTGGGACACACGTTTTTTTATTGACTGATGTGGCAAGATTAGGCTTCGACACAAGTTTTTTTATTGACCCATGCTGTGACAAGATTAGGGTGGGACACACGTTTTTTTTTTATATCGACTGCTGTGGCAAGATTAGGGTGGGACACACGTTTTTTTATTGACCCATGCTGTGGCAAGATTAGGGTGGGACACACGTTTTTTATTGACTGCTGTGGCAAGATTAGGTTGGGACACACGTTTTTTTATTGACCCATGCTGTGACAAGATTAGGGTGGGACACACGTTTATTGACTGCTGTGGCAAGATTGGGTGGGACACACGTTTTTTTATTGACTGATGTGGCAAGATTACGGTGGGACACACGTTTTTTTATTGACACATGCTGTGACAATATTAGGGTGGGAGACACGTTTTTTTTATTGACCCTTTAGTAGCAAGATTAGGGTGGGACACACGTTTTTTATTGACCCTTAAGGAGCAAGATTAGGGTGGGACATACGTTTTTTTTATTGGAATAAATGAGTTTGTATTCATGTTGTGGAAAAAACATTAAAAAAATAAAAAGATTATTTTTAGTTAGGACATTTTTTTGCTGAAATTCACAAAAGAATCCCAGAATACACAATATTATGCTCATGAATAATATGGTAGAAATACCAGAGACTCTTGAAATAGTAAGACTAGAAGTAAGTACGCTCGGAGTATTTGAAACACTCCCAAACTTTAGCACAAAATAAAAACAAAAATATATTTAGCGGCTAAAGATTGATTCGCTAATCTAGCAGACTTCTGGAAGTAAAGAAAGTCTTCAAACAGATGGTAGCAAACATGTTTTTTTAGACCTTATAATATCTCACATATGTTGATAAATTACATTAGATTTGTATTTATTAAACACATTACATTTTGAAAACATTAATCCCTGAGAGTTTTTTTTAGCAGTGACACGCCTTACTTTTGGATCGGAATCGCAGAAAGTAATGTCACACAGTGTTAGTATTCAACCGTTTTTTGTTGCTTTTTTCTTTGGTTAATGATGAAATCTGGACTTTAAAGATTGGAAAACATAAATATTTATATACAATTTTTATTCTGTATCTGTTAAAATAACGATAAGTCAATTCACATTGATCTAAAGAAAGATTGGTCTTGATACACATTATAGTTTTCATTATATAGGCTAGTATATTTAGCAGATTTATATACACTGGATACTTATTCACATAGTGGATTATTATTTGAAATTATGATGTGTATTTGTCTTAAAGTGAAGGTATGGTCTGACAAGTCACCCATCGACTACACAAGATGGGACATTGGTCAACCCGGCTTATTGAGTTTTATCTACCCTGAGGAGTCGTGTGTTCAAGTAAGCTTTAGTTAGTGGATAGTTCTTGAAAGCATCATAAATAACTAATTGATTACAAAAAGACATGAATTAAACTTACAAATTAATTTGAAAAAAAAAACGATATTAAAATAATTTAAATAACCTTTCGTGATGAGTGTTTGATGAAAGTTGATTAAATAAAAATAATAATAAAAAATAATTCCAATAAATAAATTATCTTGCTGCTCGCGTATCAATTTTAACTGTTCATGTTTTTATATTTTGTCAGGTGCAAGTCTTGAACTCGCTGTGGTGGTCTAACAAATGTAATGTGAGACAGTCTTTTGCTTGCTCTCTGCACATTGGTACTGATTGCTAATTTTTCTCAATTATTTTTCTCTTGCATAACAAATGTTTTTAAAAAATAAAAAAAAACACCATTTCCAAATTATATAGGGAACACACAACGACAACACAGAGACTCAAGAAAAATATTCTAAAAATGAAAACAAAAAGCAGCTTCTGAATTATCTACTGAAAAATAATTAACAATAGGCCTAGTTAATATTATAAAATCTAAAGAATATGAAAACAATCTAGATTACATAGCTAAAAGTTATTTAGATTACATAGCTAAAAGTTATTTACAAAAGTGAGAGTTCAATAGGTGTGTGGTCTCTTCTCAGAGTCAGGCATTTATTTTTATTTAATTCAGCCAAACCATCTTATTTTAAAATTAATTAATTATCTTTTAATCAATTTATCAAAACATTTTGTTAGACTGTCCAACAACCTGTTTTTAGATGCTATATACAAATGCAGTGTCTTCAGAATATATTTAAACATTTTTTTCCAGAATCTGTCTATAATCATATTTCGGTGGAGACTCCAAAATCAGGTAATTGAAAGCATATTTATAATTTAAATTTTGCTCCCATAATTAAGTGCGATTTTATACTTTAATTGTACTTAATCGCTTGAATTCTGAAACAATCTGAAACTAATCATGCCCACTTTACCAACACTCCAACAGCACATTTAAAATTTTATTTTGGCGTCTAGGTTGCCAAGATGGTTTGTGGGAGCTAGAAGATGGCTTCTGTTATTACGTCAGTAATGACACAAAAACCTGGCAGAGTGCACGAGATGCATGCGTGTCACTTGGTGCAGACCTAGTTAGCATACACTCACACAGCGGATACAACTACGTCACAGATACGGTACAAATATCCAATCCATCATTAACAAAGCATCATAATTATTTAAAAATAATCATATTATTATTTAGTTTTCATATAAACTAGATACCTTTTAGATAATTTAAATACATTCTTGCAACTCTGATTGAAGTATTGAATAAATATGCTATTTTTCTTTTGGTAACATATTTCAAGTTATATCTATAGGGGTTAGAGTCAGGGTTCGTAACATTAGCGTCAAGACAAGGTGAATGCATCTTAGCTCCTTTCTCCTTTCGTTCCTAGTTGATCTATCAATACGTTTGTTCTCGTTAAAAAACTAAACAGAAGAATTGCAGGAATCTCATTGAACCAACAATCAGTTCTAGCTTGTAGGTTACGACGATATTCACTCACTGATCAGTAAAACAATTTTCAGATGGAAAAGAAATATTTGAATTTGTGGATTGGCCTGCAGTCATATAACGGGACATTTCTGTAAGTAATTTCATTCAGGGGTATTTGTAGAGATTCATGCAGGAATGTATAATATACATGTGACTATGTAGGTGTCAATACATAGAAGTATATTGTTAGTATATATCAGTATATATTGCAGTGTATGCATCAATATATATATATATATATATATATATATATATATATATATATATATATATATATATATATAAACATCTAGATGGTCGGATGGAAGCCCTGTTGTATTCCTCAATTGGAATAATTACCTCACTAACTCAGATACCTCCGACAAGTTTTGTGTATACACAGACAGACGTAAGTATCTAGTCTCGTTTTGTTCACGACTATACACCTCTAGTTTCAGCCCTTGAGATCGTTTAATGCACATCTTAGATGATAATATGTTTATGTATAGCCCTGTAGGTGGTAGAAAGTAACACAGTATTCACAATTTGATTTTTCATTTATTGATTTTCTTACGTCACTTATGCTGTACAACATAAGCAATAATGTTGCCTAGTATAATATACATAATATATTAAAATGGAATCTTTAAAATAGTTTTTGTTCCAGTTAAGGTGAAATTTCGTAAATACATAATTTGTTTATTCTCTCGTTTCTTGCCTTTTTTCTATTTTTTTTTTACTTTTGTTAAAAACCAACCTGAATTTTTTTTAGACAACATCTACAAAGAAAAAACAAACAAAATCAACAAAAATAAAAAAATTATTATTAACATTATTATTATTATGATTATTTATTTTATGTATCATTTTATGACATTTCATTACATAATTTCTAAATTGCATAGCCAACACTTTAAGAAATGCTAGTTTTGTCCTTTCTGAAAATATTTTTCAAAATTAATTTGTTTAATTTGAGATTTTATCATTAAAAAAATTAATTTGTTTAATTTGAGATTTTATCATTAAAAAATGTCAATAAACAAATGTGACAGTCAACTGGTACGATTCATCGTGTGAGTCGGAGTTTGGGTACATGTGCAAGAAGAAAAGTCACGAGACACCTGACAGCACACCTGACAGCACACCTGACAGCACTCAGACCGCTAGTGTCAGTGACGATGGCTTGACATGTCCTGACAAATTTGTCAGTGTTGGTAAGATGATTTCACGTTTTGAATTCTATTCTGATTTTAGTGTAGAAAACAGGAATGTTTTTTTTTTACATTTTTAAGCTGTTAATTTAAAAAAAAAATAATTACATACATTTATGCATATGGTTGTTAACGAACTTTCATTTTAATTTAAACCAATATCAAGTATCGCGTTTCTAATTAGTAACTATGATGAGATTGTAGTGTAGTTTGTCAAGTTATGCAGTCCTTATTCATTATTGACAATTCATTTGTTTAAAGAAAGTAATTTGATTTAATATTTTGTCTCTTAGTTATGTACAAGTATAAGAAAAAAATCAATAGAAATTTTAATACATTAAAATTACTTTTTTATTCCACGTAGTTGAAAGCATAACATAAATAGGAGTTAGTTTATGTTTTTAAACTCCATTTCCCTATCCCAGCAGGCAGTAGTAAATGCTACTACATCAGAGGGACCAACAGCACAAGGTGGGGCTGGAACAGTGTTAAAACTGCTTGCAGTAAATTAAGTTCTGACAGGTCGACACATTTTGGTGTGATAAGTAACCAGCTAGAGCAAGGTGAGATTGTGATAAGTAACCAGCTAGAGCAAGGTGAGATTAAGTAACCAGCTAGAGCAAGGTGAGATTGTGATAAGTAACCAGCTAGAGCAAGGTGAGAATAAGTAACCAGCTAGAGCAAGGTGAGATTAAGTAACCAGCTAGAGCAAGGTGAGATTGTGATAAGTAACCAGCTAGAGCAAGGTGAGATTGAGTAACCAGCTAGAGCAAGGTGAGATTGTGATAAGTAACCAGCTAGAGCAAGGTGGGATTGTGATAAGTAACCAGCTAGAGCAAGGTGAGATTGTGATAAGTAACCAGCTAGAGCAAGGTGAGATTGTGATAAGTAACCAGCTAGAGCAAGGTGAGATTGTGATAAGTAACCAGCCAGAGCAAGGTGAGATTGTGATAAGTAACCAGCTAGAGCAAGGTGAGATTGTGATAAGTAACCAGCTAGAGCAAGGTGAGATTGTGATAAGTAACCAGCCAGAGCAAGGTGAGATTGTGATAAGTAACCAGCTAGAGCAAGGTGAGATTAAGTAACCAGCTAGAGCAAGGTGAAATTGTTATAAGTAACCAGCCAGAGCAAGGTGAGATTGTGATAAGTAACCAGCTAGAGCAAGGTGAGATTAAGTAACCAGCTAGAGCAAGGTGAGATTGTGATAAGTAACCAGCTAGAGCAAGGTGAGATTGTGATAAGTAACCAGCTAGAGCAAGGTGAGATTGTGATAAGTAACCAGCTAGAGCAAGGTGAGATTAAGTAACCAGCTAGAGCAAGGTGAGATTGTGATAAGTAACCAGCTAGAGCAAGGTGAGATTGTGATAAGTAACCAGCTAGAGCAAGGTGAGATTGTGATAAGTAACCAGCTAGAGCAAGGTGAGATTGTGATAAGTAACCAGCCAGAGCAAGGTGAGATTGTGATAAGTAACCAGCTAGAGCAAGGTGAGATTGTGATAAGTAACCAGCTAGAGCAAAGTGAGATTGTGATAAGTAACCAGCTAGAGCAAGGTGAGATTGTGATAAGTAACCAGCTAGAGCAAGGTGAGATTGTGATAAGTAACCAGCTAGAGCAAGGTGAGATTGTGATAAGTAACCAGCTAGAGCAAGGTGAGATTGTGATAAGTAACCAGCTAGAGCAAGGTGAGATTAAGTAACCAGCTAGATCAAGGTGAGATTGAGTAACCAGCTAGAGCAAGGTGAGATTGTGATAAGTAACCAGCTAGAGCAAGGTGAGATTGTGATAAGTAACCAGCTAGAGCAAGGTGAGATTGAGTAACCAGCTAGAGCAAGGTGAGATTGTGATAAGTAACCAGCTATAGCAAGGTGAGATTAAGTAAACAGCTAGAGCAAGGTGAGATTGTGATAAGTAACCAGCTAGAGCAAGGTGAGATTGTGATAAGTAACCAGCTAGAGCAAGGTGAGATTGTGATAAGTAACCAGCTAGAGCAAGGTGAGGTTAAGTAACCAGCTAGAGCAAGGTGAGATTGTGATAAGTAACCAGCTAGAGCAAGGTGAGATTAAGTAACCAGCTAGAGCAAGGTGAGATTGTGATAAGTAACCAGCTAGAGCAAGGTGAGATTGAGTAACCAGCTAGAGCAAGGTGAGATTGTGATAAGTAACCAGCTAGAGCAAGGTGGGATTGTGATAAGTAACCAGCTAGAGCAAGGTGAGATTGTGATAAGTAACCAGCTAGAGCAAGGTGAGATTGTGATAAGTAACCAGCTAGAGCAAGGTGAGATTGTGATAAGTAACCAGCCAGAGCAAGGTGAGATTGTGATAAGTAACCAGCTAGAGCAAGGTGAGATTGTGATAAGTAACCAGCTAGAGCAAGGTGAGATTGTGATAAGTAACCAGCCAGAGCAAGGTGAGATTGTGATAAGTAACCAGCTAGAGCAAGGTGAGATTGTGAAAAGTAACCAGCTAGAGCAAAGTGAGATTGTGATAAGTAACCAGCTAGAGCAAGGTGAGATTGTGATAAGTAACCAGCCAGAGCAAGGTGAGATTGTGATAAGTAACCAGCTAGAGCAAGGTGAGATTGTGATAAGTAACCAGCTAGAGCAAGGTGAGATTAAGTAACCAGCTAGAGCAAGGTGAGATTGTGATAAGTAACCAGCTAGAGCAAGGTGAGATTGTGAAAATCAACCAGCTAGAACAAGGTGAGATTGTGATAAGTAACCAGCTAGAGCAAGGTGAGGTTAAGTAACCAGCTAGAGCAAGGTGAGATTGTGATAAGTAACCAGCTAGAGCAAGGTGAGATTGTGATAAGTAACCAGCTAGAGCAAAGTGAGATTGTGATAAGTAACCAGCTAGAGCACGGTGAGATTGTGATAAGTAACCAGCTATAGCAAGGTGAGATTAAGTAAACAGCTAGAGCAAGGTGAGATTGTGATAAGTAACCAGCTAGAGCAAGGTGAGATTGTGATAAGTAACCAGCTAGAGCAAGATGAGATTGTGATAAGTAACCAGCTAGAGCAAGGTGAGATTGTGATAAGTAACCAGCTAGAGCAAGGTGAGATTGTGATAAGTAACCAGCTAGAGCAAGGTGAGATTAAGTAACCAGCTAGAGCAAGGTGAGATTGAGTAACCAGCTAGAGCAAGGTGAGATTGTGATAAGTAACCAGCTAGAGCAAGGTGAGATTGTGATAAGTAACCAGCTAGAGCAAGGTGAGATTGAGTAACCAGCTAGAGCAAGGTGAGATTGTGATAAGTAACCAGCTATAGCAAGGTGAGATTAAGTAAACAGCTAGAGCAAGGTGAGATTGTGATAAGTAACCAGCTAGAGCAAGGTGAGATTGTGATAAGTAACCAGCTAGAGCAAGGTGAGATTGTGATAAGTAACCAGCTAGAGCAAGGTGAGGTTATGATAAGTAACCAGCTAGAGCAAGGTGAGGTTAAGTAACCAGCTAGAGCAAGGTGAGATTGTGATAAGTAACCAGCTAGAGCAAGGTGAGATTAAGTAACCAGCTAGAGCAAGGTGAGATTGTGATAAGTAACCAGCTAGAGCAAGGTGAGATTGAGTAACCAGCTAGAGCAAGGTGAGATTGTGATAAGTAACCAGCTAGAGCAAGGTGGGATTGTGATAAGTAACCAGCTAGAGCAAGGTGAGATTGTGATAAGTAACCAGCTAGAGCAAGGTGAGATTGTGATAAGTAACCAGCTAGAGCAAGGTGAGATTGTGATAAGTAACCAGCCAGAGCAAGGTGAGATTGTGATAAGTAACCAGCTAGAGCAAGGTGAGATTGTGATAAGTAACCAGCTAGAGCAAGGTGAGATTGTGATAAGTAACCAGCCAGAGCAAGGTGAGATTGTGATAAGTAACCAGCTAGAGCAAGGTGAGATTGTGAAAAGTAACCAGCTAGAGCAAAGTGAGATTGTGATAAGTAACCAGCTAGAGCAAGGTGAGATTGTGATAAGTAACCAGCCAGAGCAAGGTGAGATTGTGATAAGTAACCAGCCAGAGCAAGGTGAGATTGTGATAAGTAACCAGCTAGAGCAAGGTGAGATTGTGAAAAGTAACCAGCTAGAGCAAAGTGAGATTGTGATAAGTAACCAGCTAGAGCAAGGTGAGATTAAGTAACCAGCTAGAGCAAGGTGAGATTGTGATAAGTAACCAGCTAGAGCAAGGTGAGATTGTGAAAATCAACCAGCTAGAACAAGGTGAGATTGTGATAAGTAACCAGCTAGAGCAAGGTGAGGTTAAGTAACCAGCTAGAGCAAGGTGAGATTGTGATAAGTAACCAGCTAGAGCAAGGTGAGATTAAGTAACCAGCTAGAGCAAGGTGAGATTGTGATAAGTAACCAGCTAGAGCAAGGTGAGGTTAAGTAACCAGCTAGAGCAAGGTGAGATTGTGATAAGTAACCAGCTAGAGCAAGGTGAGGTTAAGTAACCAGCTAAAGCAAGGTGAGATTGTGATAAGTAACCAGCTAGAGCAAGGTGAGATTGAGTAACCAGCTAGAGCAAGGTGAGATTGTGATAAGTAACCAGCTAGAGCAAGGTGGGATTGTGATAAGTAACCAGCTAGAGCAAGGTGAGATTGTGATAAGTAACCAGCTAGAGCAAGGTGAGATTGTGATAAGTAACCAGCTAGAGCAAGGTGAGATTGTGATAAGTAACCAGCCAGAGCAAGGTGAGATTAAGTAACCAGCTAGAGCAAGGTGAGATTGTGATAAGTAACCAGCTAGAGCAAGTTGAGATTGTGATTAGTAACCAGCTAGAGCAAGGTGAGATTGTGATAAGTAACCAGCCAGAGCAAGGTGAGATTGAGTAACCAGCTAGAGCAAGGTGAGATTGTGATAAGTAACCAGCTAGAGCAAGGTGAGGTTAAGTAACCAGCTAGAGCAAGGTGAGATTGTGATAAGTAACCAGCCAGAGCAAGGTGAGATTGTGATAAGTAACCAGCTAGAGCAAGGTGAGATTGTGATAAGTAACCAGCTAGAGCAAGGTGAGATTGTGATAAGTAACCAGCCAGAGCAAGGTGAGATTGTGATAAGTAACCAGCTAGAGCAAGGTGAGATTGTTATAAGTAACCAGCTAGAGCAAAGTGAGATTGTGATAAGTAACCAGCTAGAGCAAGGTGAGATTAAGTAACCAGCTAGAGCAAGGTGAGATTGTGATAAGTAACCAGCCAGAGCAAGGTGAGATTGTGATAAGTAACCAGCCAGAGCAAGGTGAGATTGTGATAAGTAACCAGCTAGAGCAAGTTGAGATTGTGATAAGTAACCAGCTAGAGCAAGGTGAGATTGTGATAAGTAACAGCTAGAGCAAGGTGAGATTGTGATAAGTAACCAGCTAGAGCAAGGTGAGATTAAGTAACCAGCTAGAGCAAGGTGAGATTGTGATAAGTAACCAGCTAGAGCAAGGTGAGATTGTGATAAGTAACAGCTAGAGCAAGGTGAGATTGTGATAAGTAACAGCTAGAGCAAGGTGAGATTGTGATAAGTAACCAGCTAGAGCAAGGTGAGATTAAGTAACCAGCTAGAGCAAGGTGAGATTGTGATAAGTAACCAGCTAGAGCAAGGTGAGATTAAGTAACCAGCTAGAGCAAGGTGAGATTGTGATAAGTAACCAGCTAGAGCAAGTTGAGATTGTGATTAGTAACCAGCTAGAGCAAGGTGAGATTGTGATAAGTAACCAGCTAGAGCAAGGTGAGATTGTGATAAGTAACCAGCTAGAGCAAGGTGAGATTGTGATAAGTAACCAGCCAGAGCAAGGTGAGATTGTGATAAGTAACCAGCTAGAGCAAGTTGAGATTGTGATTAGTAACCAGCTAGAGCAAGGTGAGATTGTGATAAGTAACCAGCTAGAGCAAGGTGAGATTGTGATAAGTAACCAGCTAGAGCAAGGTGAGATTAAGTAACCAGCTAGAGCAAGGTGAGATTGTGATAAGTAACCAGCTAGAGCAAGGTGAGATTACGTAACCAGCTAGAGCAAGGTGAGATTGTGATAAGTCTAGAGCAAGTTGAGGTTGTGATAAGTAACCAGCTAGAGCAAAGTGAGATTGTGATAAGTAACCAGCTAGAGCAAGGTGAGATTAAGTAACCAGCTAGAGCAAGTTGAGATTGTGATTTGTAACCAGCTAGAGCAAGGTGAGATTGTGATAAGTAACCAGCTAGAGCAAGGTGAGATTGTGATAAGTAACCAGCTAGAGCAAGGTGAGATTTTGATAAGTAACCAGCTAGAGCAAGGTGAGATTGTGATAAGTAACCAGCTAGAGCAAGGTGAGATTAAGTAACCAGCTAGAGCAAGGTGAGATTGTGATAAGTAACCAGCTAGAGCAAGGTGAGATTGTGATAAGTCTAGAGCAAGTTGAGGTTGTGATAAGTAACCAGCTAGAGCAAGGTGAGATTGTGATAAGTAACCAGCTAGAGCAAGGTGAGATTGTGATAAGTAACCAGCTAGAGCAAGGTGAGATTGTGGTACACGCTCGTGTTAAACTATTTGAAATTGGTAAATTTGTTTGTCAGAGGATAACCAGACCTGCTTGCCACATTATGTGCAAATGTATAAATAAAGTAAACAATTGCTACCTGTAACAATCTTTCAATATTTAGTTACATAAGACTTTGTGGTTTCGACTTAACGGCTTTTACTCACACTTATTGGTGAGTTTCAGTTATTTTATTATGATATCATACAAAAATTATTGGCTATTGGGTTGGAAAGAAATGAAAAAAAAATCAGGGACAGGATAGTTTTAAAAAGTTGAACTAATCAGCACATGAAACAAAGTAGAATAGTTTTTAACGATTCGTATAAATGTGCACATAAAACAAAGTAGAAATACAACTGATATTGTCACGTGGTCCCGCCATACACTTCATGTCTTAGCTGTTCTCATACAAATATTACAGAGGTGAGTCAACCAGGTAACAATAATCGTAACTTTCAGATGCTGTAACTTTGTTACTGCGAGATTCAAGCAACGACGTGTGGATCGATATGTCCAGTTCGTTTATGAACAGTTTCAGATGGACAGACAAGTCTGATGTGACCTACGTCAACTGGGCCAAAAGGGAGCCTGGTTTTATCCACTCATACGACACATATTTACACGTGAGTACGGCTAGTAACTGGTAGAGATGCATCAGCAAGTGTCGTGTTGGATGGAGTTTGTTGTGTTGGATGGAGTTTGTTGTGTTGGATGGAGTTTGTTGTGTTGGATGGAGTTTGTTGTGTTGGATGTCTGTTGTTGAATTGGTTACATATTATTGTGATGATTGTTGGTTGTTGTACTGCATGAATATTGTTGTGCTAGATATCCGTTGGATAAATGTTGTTTTGCATCACTGTTGTTATATTAGATATATTTTGCTAGCAGATTGATGCAACTATATTTTACGATCAGCTGTCCGCTAAGGTTACAAAACCTAAGATAACAAAACCTAAGATAACAAAACCTAAGATAACAAAACCTAAGATTAGAAAACCTAAGATTACAAAACCTAAGATAACAAAACCTAAAATTTTCCAATGTAAGAAAAACAAATGTAAAAACTAACTTTTTACGTTTCACATTTTAGAAATTCTGTGTCAGAATGATACGAAAAAGCAATAATAAACATGAGATCGGCAGATGGAAGGTGTCGACATGCTCACAGAAACTTGGGTACCTGTGTCAGGGGAGAAAAGGTGAGACAGCGTCTTATAGCACACGGATACATCTTATACCACACGGATACATCTTATAACACACGGATATATCTTATACCACACGGATACATCTTATACCACACGGATACATCGCTTAGTTTATACACACTTGACAAATCCTTTAGGTTATACACACTTGACACATCCTTTAAATAAATATGTAGACTGTTTTGTTAAACAATTGCTACGTTTGCCATAAATGTCAGTTACAATAAGTAATTATTCTCGAAATGACCAATCCAGATTAAGACAAATTTCTTTTATCTGAAAATATTTTGTACGTTTCTATCAAATGATGTAGTTTTTTAAAAGCCCAAGCCCCCAGCCCACATCACTGTGTCCCACGGGTTTCCTGACCTACACAACAAACTGTTTCTCTTTGATTTGTTTAGTTGCAGGACCCAGCCCAAGCCCCCAGCCCACATTACTGTGTCCCAAGGGTTTCCTGACCCACACAACAAACTGTTTCTCTTTGATTTGTTTAGTTCCAGGACCAAGCCCAAGCCCCCAGCCCACATCACTGTGCCCCACGGGTTTCCTGACCTACACAACAAACTGTTTCTCAATCATCAACGAACCAAAACAGTGGGGCGATGCCAGAAAGTCGTGCCAAAATTTAGGCGGAGATTTGGCCTCAATTTTAGACGTCTTCGAGGCAGCCTTTATCAACATCCACCTGAACCGCATGAAGGTCAACACCAAAGTCTGGATTGGGATGAGCTACCATCTGGTGGAAGATAGTTCTATGACGGGTGAAAATGTAAGCATTGACTTCTAGATGATGGTGAAAGATAGCACTATGACGGGTGAAAATGTAAGCATTAACTTCTAGATGATGGTGAAAGATAGCACTATGACGGGTGAAAATGTAAGCATTGATTTCTAGATGATGTCACGTGTTGTAAGATAAGGCGGGTCACACTTTAAAATCTGTAAAATGTATTCAGCGGTCAGGTGTTTTAAGATACTGATGGGAGGGCGCAGGAGACATTAATACAACAGTGCGATAGCGAGGGAGATAGATAAATAGAGATATAGATAGATAGAGAGATATATAGATAGCTAGATAGATAAAGATAGATAGAGGTAGAGAGAGAGAGAGAGAGAGAGGTATACCCTACTGACAAACCTAATAAAAATGCAGGTAGCAACGTTTCAGTTGTAGTAACCAGGTGAACATCTTTACACAAATTAACTTTGTAACCAATGACAAGAAACTCAGGATACATTTCTCAAAATTATTTTTGTCGTTATTGATGAGATAATCATTATCTAACCCTAATACTATCCTCCAAACATGTCTTGTAGAACCACGAGTCTTCCTATCTAACCCTAACCCTATCCTCCAAACATGTCTTGTAGAACCACGAGTCTTCCTATCTAACCCTAACCCTATCCTCCAAACATGTCTTGTAGAACCACGAGTCTTCCTATCTAACCCTAACCCTATCCTCCAAACATGTCTTGTAGAACCACGAGTCTTCCTATCTAACCCTAACCCTATCCTCCAAACATGTCTTGTAGAACCACGAGTCTTCCTATCTAACCCTAACCCTATCCTCCAAACATGTCTTGTAGAACCACGAGTCTTCCTATCTAACCCTAACCCTATCCTCTAAACATGTCTTGTAGAACCACGAGTCTTCCTATCTAACCCTAACCCTATCCTCCAAACATGTCTTGTAGAACCACGAGTCTTCCTATCTAACCCTAACCCTATCCTCCAAACATGTCTTGTAGAACCACGAGTCTTCCTATCTAACCCTAACCCTATCCTCCAAACATGTCTTGTAGAACCACGAGTCTTCCTATCTAACCCTAACCCTATCCTCCAAACATGTCTTGTAGAACCACGAGTCTTCCTATCTAACCCTAACCCTATCCTCCAAACATGTCTTGTAGAACCACGAGTCTTCCTATCTAACCCTAACCCTATCCTCCAAACATGTCTTGTAGAACCACGAGTCTTCCTATGTGTGGAGCGACACCTGGCCAGTCCACTACACCTCCTGGTCACCTGGACGTCCGCAGAGATTTGATGCCAACACCTGTGTGGCTGTGGAGAACCACATGTGGACAGACCAGTCCTGTAGTGAGGCTCTGCCTTTTGTGTGCCAAATCAGATCAAGTATGTTTTTTATTGTTGGCTGTGATGTAGCCAATATTGGATCAATGTTTAACCAATATTGGAACAAATTTGATAAGCAGCAAGATCTATTTAAGTGTTCTCTTCTAAATATTGTAGTATTTTTCTTATATATCCTGACCTGGTGAGATAAAGTTTCCATAAGGAAAGGTTGGATCTACATTTAATGAAAGGCTCATCAACAATTGCTAATTAATTCCCCAGGTTCAAATGTGTTAAACAAATTAATTCCCCAGGTTTACACGTGTTAAACAAATTAATTCCTCAGGTTCACCTATGTTAGATCAGAAAGATGAGATCAGCTGCGGCGACCACAAAAAACACCTGTTTGGTCAGTCCTGCTATTACCTGGAGCTAGGAGAGGTCGTGACGTGGGCCGAGGCGCTCTTGAAATGCCAGACAATGGACATGCAGCTGGCCAGCCTCCACAGTCCAGAGGAGATCAACTTCATCCAGAGACAGCTGGTAGCACTCAGCCAGGAAGACGAACCACATTCCTTATACGGCAATAATTTCTTTTGGATTGGACTGAACAAAATCTTCGGTAAGTTAACAATCAACTGCATACATTTTGAATTATATCGTCAAAAAACCGGGAGTAATCTCCCCTAAACTTTCTAGAATATTCTTATATAACTTGGAATATAGACATGATTTTTAATTACTTAAACGTTTAAAAATAGAATAGAATCTAATAGAAAAAAGAATTGCGCACCAAGCGAACGGCAAAACAAAAGGTGCATAATAGTGCGCAATATTATTAGTACTTTATAAATTTACATGCGTTTTTTGAGAAATCGGAAATAACGTAAATTAGTACTTCCAGTCAACGGACATTACTCAAAATTTGACAGAAGGTAGAGAATTAGATCTTTTACTTACACGTGAAATTTCATTTATCTATCTGAAATAGTACTCAAGGTATAGGCTTTTGAAAATTCAAAGTAGAAAAAGTACCACTTTCGGTTATCGGAAATCGCTCAAAAATTGATACGGATCTACGATTTTCATAAAATACTTATGTATGAAATTTCATCAACCTAGCTGTAACGGTACTCAAGTTATCGTGTTTACACACAGACAGACACACAGACAGACACATAGACATACGGACAAGATTGCAAAATTATGTTTTTCCGTATCAGTGAGATGTAAAACGTCGAGATTTGTAAAAATGTCTATTTTTTTTTTGCACGATTACAATACTTTCTCTATACTTCGTGTATACGAGAAAGTAAAAAACGGAGTTCAGTAAATAGATTTAGAAAAAGTGGAGCATTATCTATGCCAGTGGAGCATTATCTACGCAGTGGAGCATTATGTATAGTAGTGGAGCATTACCCACAGCAGTGGAGCATTATCTATGGCAGTGGAGCATTATCTATGGCAGTGGAGTATTATCTATGACAGTAGATCATTATCTATACCTAGCCTTTCTATCTTTTTGTATTACTCTGGTGTGAAACGCTATTAAAAACTTCCCTTTTGTAACAGCTCTCTATAAAATTTACCACTTTCTTTTAATAGAACTATAAACTTCTGAAGACCTAAATAGATATTAAACTCTTAGTATTCTTGGCAAAGTTTGATCTCAACTTCAACCTAAAGAGGTACAGCTTCTGTTTTAAGTTAGCTGACAGCTGATGACGATGCTTTCCCCCCAGGTAACCTAACGTGGGCAGACAAGACACCTGTTGACTACCTGAACTGGAACACATCTCTGGCCCCTAACAAAGCGCTGGCACACGCCAGCATGAAGAAGATAGACTGTGTCAAAATGTGGAAGGGCACCGGCACATGGAGCTTGTCTGGGTGTTTCTCTGAGATGTGTGGATACCTGTGTAAATCAAACGTTGGTGTGTTCACATTCTTTCAAAACTGACACGATTCTAAACTCTGTCAGAATGTAAGCAAATCTTTTAACAAATGATTGCAAATCACAACTGTAAATATGTTTCAGAGATCCCCACAAGTCCAACGTTAGAACCTCCGGTGTCGTCTACAGAACAGGTTGAGGCAAGCTCGCACCAAACTGACACAAACACGCAACAAACGGACACAAACACGAAACAAACTGACACAAACACGCAACAAACAGACACAAACACGCAACAAACAGACAAAAGCACGAAACGGACGCCCAAGACAACTGCACCTGATTTAGAGAGTTCAACGACACCACCAAAGGAAACTGGCAACTTATTTGGAACTTACACTGACAACAGAGGTAAACACTTGAGGGACGATTTAAGCAGAAGTTAATGGGTATAGTCTGACTTGGTGATTCCTTATTACCAGGTGCCCATTCAGTTCTGCGAAACATGCCTGTTTTGTAGTTAGGTTTTTCATTTGACATTAACAACAATTGTGTGCCGAGGGGAAGTAACATAAGGGAAGTTGTTCTTTTATTTGTTTTCAATGAAAATCAAAGCATTTAGTACATTTTAAAATTCATAATAATTGTATATCAGATGTATACATGGTTGAACCAGACGGCTAATCATCCTCTGTCGTATACACTTCAAAGATCATACAAATTATGTTATTATAATCCTGCATAACTACCACTATCACCACAACAAAACTACACACATTGGAGTTAGTTTCCTTTAATCACGAATTTATGTCTGCCCAAAGACTAAAACAATCTCTCCCCACTAGACAAGGGGTCATCTCTGACCAGTGGTCAAGTTACCGGCATCACTGTTGGCATTCTGGGAACTTGCGCTACCGTGATCATCGCTGTTCTGGCAGTCGTTGTATGGAAGTCTGCTAGAGCAGCAGGCAAGCAGACGACCACAGAGAACCCTGGCTTCATCAACGTCTTGTATGTGGCACAGAGAGAACTGGAGCAGCAGTCTAGTCATGTCACACATTCAGCTGGGTAGTGTAGGTTTATAGGTGTGACACTCTACTGGGTAGTGTAGGTTTATAGCTCACACTCTAATGGGTAGTGTAGGTTTATAGGTCTGGCAACATATTAGTGTAGGTTTATAGGTCACACTCTACTGAATAGTGTAGGTTTATAGGTCACACTCTACTGAATAGTGTAGGTTTATAGGTCACACTCTACGGAATAGTGTAGGTTTATAGGTGTGACACTAGTGTGTAGTGTAGGTTTATAGGTCACACTCTACTGTGTAGTGTAGGTTTATTGATGTCAAGTTAAATGTTGAAACATGCAAGCATTAAAAACATTTACATTGGCCACTGTTCTGTCGTTTTATTTAACAAATTCCATGAAGGAATGAATCGTCCAATCCTCCTGCTGTTCAGAGTTTCTTCCAGGCATCACTTCGGATGGGCTTAGCCCCCCCCCCCCCGAAGAAAGTCTATACCCCCCCCCCCCCCGAAAATTTCAAGTGCCCCCCGGAGAAAAAAGTCTGGAGGAAACACTGCTACTGTTTACCTTGATTTAATTACACTGTTATAATAAACTCTATCAGCAATCTTCATTTTTTTAACGGTGGCAAATAGGTAGGTACTGTTACCTTTATTTACATTAGATGTTTGTAACTAATGCTCCCTAAAAGTAAAATTGGTAAAATACGTAAATTGTAGAACAAATAAATTATTATTAACAAAATAATGATAATTAGTGAAATAATAAATAGTGAAGTAACATTGTGATGTAGAGGTTAAGAAATCGTGAAATTTTGTTTTGTATTTTCTGTTATTGTTTTATTTTATTTGGCACCAAAATAGGGAAGGCTGTCTTTGGAAAAATATTGATATGTGATTGGTAAAGTACCTCCACGTTTTATTTTTTGTATTGAAACAAAAAGTTAAGATAAACCAGAAAGGGCTGGTTTGCCAAAAATTTATCTAACAAAGTTGACTTAGTGTTGGCCTGTATAATTTGATTTATTGAAGAATATTTTGTCTAATGAAATAATCTAGACAGTTAGTTTATCTGGCCTGTATTCTCAAGATTTGTAGCAAACGAAAATGCTTTGTTGGCCAATACTTGAGACAATTTTAAAATCTTAGCTAGGTGTAGATTTTAATGACATTTGTTGAAGGTGACGATGTTAGATTGTGATCAATAACGAACACTACACTTGTTTCGTTATTTTATTTTCTCTAGTAATATGTAATAAAGTGGATGGCAATAAGCACCCACACCATCCAGTTCGTTACATATTACTCGAAAATATAAACTAGACTAAAGTAGGACTGGCTTTGTGTGGAAAGAGAGGTCACTAGCATGATCACGTGATTCTCATGTCGTTATGACAAGCAGCTAATGACATGTACGTTGGTAAACAACAGAGGGGAGAGGCATTACAAATAGAAAATTGCAGGCCAAATAGAAAATTACAGGCCAAATAGAAATATGCAGGCCAAATAGATAATTACAGGCCAAATTAAAAACTACAGGCCAAATAATAATTAGAGGCTGAATAGAAAATCATATGCCAATAGAAAATTGGTGGCCAAACAGAAAATTACGGGTTAAATGAAAATTATTGTTTGGTTACATCAAATGAGAAGGAGAGAGGAAAGCGTCATAAAACTCATGCGTGAAAGGCCGTGTAAATTTAGATTTTGGAATTCCCGGTAATTGTCTATAATTTATTGTATAATTACACGACGTGGATTAGTTTACAGCGATTGTAGTATCACGGGATTGACAATGTCAGTGTAAAAAGGTGAAAATAACATTGTTATTCTGTGTGTGTGTGGGGGGGGGGGATAGAGGCTGTAATTGGTGTATTTGTACAAACTAGTGTTATCACTGCGTGCGGTAAAATTGATTAGATCACACAACATATGTTGGAGCTTTGTAACATAAGGTACATTGTTCTTGATTAGATTTGGTTGAAATTTGAATAACTTTGCTGCAAACTATCGACAATAATGAGCAAAAGGAAATTGGCATCACCAGAATATACGCTGGTCTTCATAATGCTGTTTGTAGCAGTGAAATGTAAGTATGAGATTTATAATGCTGTTTGTAGCAGTGAAATGTAAGTATGAGATTTATTAAACAAGCTCTGTCAGAAAGATGAAAGCCGTATAAAACCCATCGCTCACTTTTCTCCACAGCATCGCCCTGGGGTGGGGCCAACAGGAGCGTGTACTCGTTGGTTGAGCCCAAGTGTACTGGACTCTGGACAAAATGGCCCGGACACAGAAGCTGCTTCTTGTTTAGTGAGATGATATTTCCATGGCAACGTGCCCAGGCCAACTGCAAGAGCAAGGGCGGAACTCTCGTGAGCATCACGTCCAAAGATGAGCAAGTCTACATAGAGGGTAAGGATAGAATCGAAAGATGTGCAAAGGTAAAAAGGTAAGAATAAGATCAAGATATAGAGGATACATAGAAGGTACAAGAAAAAATAATCAAAGGATGTGTAGTTACATAAAGGGTAAGGATAGGATCAAAATGTGCATCTTACAACATTTCCTAGATACAAGAATCACTTTAATTAAGCCAAAAATATGATTATAAATGTTTGGGTAATTTTACTTTAGGAAAATGTAAAAAATGAACATTCTTTTGTTTCCAGATCACATCAAATTTTTGAACAGAAACTACTTCTGGTTGGGTGCCAGCAAGAAACTAACTAAACCTTTGTTGAAATGGGAAGACGGTTCTAGCATGAGCTACCAGAACTGGGGTGCACGTAAGTATATCAGGCTGAGATAT